GTAACCTATACACTAAATATTTGTAATTAGTGCTTATAACGTATAGGGTTAATTTCAGTTTGGTACCCCGTAGTTGTACTCTTAAGGCATGTTAGTACATATCTTTTCAATTTTAACAATAAAGTATCCCAAATTTAAAAAATCGTTTCAATGTGGTTCATGTTGGAGCAGGATTTCTTTCAAGAAGAAACACCTCCACAAGTTATTGACTGAGGTTTTCCACGCTTCCTTGGTTGAAAGAGAACTCCGGATTACGTTACCAAGGTTGAATGGTGGAAATGGGGTGAGTACATGCAAAAGTCACTTTGACGCTCAAGTCAGTGTCTGTGCAGCGTACTCTTAGTGTTCGATTGAATTTCTCATACCTTTGTTGGAGGTCTAGCCGGGTTTTTATAGCGCTTCGAGTTCTTGGGTTTAGCCCCACTTCCCTAGCTTTGCGCATCCCGTCATCCACTTCATGGTAATGGGATCAGATGACCGATTTGTGTCTCCCTCGCTCTGCACTTCTCTAGTGGGAGGGAAGTTCGATCATCCCACGTCTTTTAGTTGTGGCATATGGGTTAAGCCATGACACGTGAGATTTGGTCCCCACAATTCCGATGTTAGGTTGAGCATCAAAAAATCAGTTAAGTGATAACGTGGCACACGTGGGACCTATTGTTCTTGCTTATGTGGACAAAAATAAAGTAAAAACAAAAATAAAAATAAAAGAAGAAAAAAAACCTCTTCATCTCCGTTTCTCGTTGCCCGCAACTTAGGCCTTACGGCTCCAAAGACCCCCGCCCACCCAGAATATGTTCCCCCTTCCCCATCCCCTTCCTCCTCGATGCCTCCACTTTTCTCCTTCATGCCATTTTCAATCATCACCTCTCCCCCTCTACCTTGGAATGTCGTCACCGCCAATTCCTCTCCACCACGGCCACCCTCCACACAAATTCCCTCAGCCTACCCAACAAAATCAATTTCCCCCCCCCCCTATGATTTGTTGCCGCAGAATCTCACCCCACAAGTTTTAAATCTTTATCAGCAAAGTTTTTATGCTTTTGAGCAATTGATGGGTATGCACAAATCGTAGGTTTGTGAGAAAATCATAGGATGCAACCCACTCCATTGCAAATCAAGTTGACACCAATCACTTATTTGAGCAGTTTCTTCAAAATCGCTCAAGGCCACCACACAATCCAGATTCCAGGCACAAATCAGATAAGCTAACAGAAATCATCTTCCTTGAAATCCAACACAACAAGACCACCTCCTAGTGCGAACGACAACGAGGGTTGCTTTGGATTGAGAGAGAGAGAGAGAGAGAGAGGATGTGTGGTTTAGGTTGGGTGGGGTTGAGGTTGGAGTGGTGGTTATGGTTTAGGGTAAAGTTGGGGGAGGAGGCCACAAGAGAGAAACGAACATGAAGAGGTTTTTTCTCTTATTTTATTTTTATTTTTGTATTTAATTCTTTTTTTTGTCCACATAAGCAAAAATAATAGGTCCCACGTGTGCCACGTCATCACCTAACGGCGGAACCACATTGCAGCGAATTTTCAAACTTGGGGTACGTTATTGTTAAACTTGAAAAGATAGGTACTAACATGTCTTAAGGATACAACTACAGGGTACCAAACTGAAATTAACCATAACCTATATGTATATTGTAAGTAATGGTATTCAATCTCCTATCCTGTTGTAGGGGGTTTTTTTGTTCTAGTAGCCTGACGAATGGGCTTGGGCTGCTGTAAGAAGACGACGAACAAAATCCCCCAAATGCCCGAGTTCAAAACCAAGCTCCCAAAAGAGTTTCTAGAAAATCTGATGAGATTTAAAAGAACACTCTTAGGATCACTTTACTAACACCCAAATAAGCATGATAAATTCACTAATGGCTTAGCCTGAGGAGCCTGTGGCATGGGAGCTAAGCTTTCACAAGTTTAGCAATTTGAGAGAGAGAGAGAGGCATGAGTTCCTTATAGAGAAAAGAAGCCCGAAGTGAACAGGGGAATATTAGCCCGACTTCTATACTAAGGGGGAGAAGAAGAACGAACGAAAGAGGGAATTGGGTGCCTTGAGCGAATTCTCAGATGCTTGACAAAGCTTGGTCAGGCTATCAATGGTTGGTTTTTCTGGGTAGCAAAAGCCTCCTTTTATAGGCGTTAAGAGCCCTAATTTTGTCTGGTCTTCCTCTTCCTTTTCCCTTGGCAGCTCCATACTTAGTCCTATTTTGGTGTAATTCTCCTATCAAGGCATATGGGAAAGGAACCATTGTGGTTCCAATGACTTTGACGCAGCTGGACCTCCCCACAAGGGTGAGGCGCCACTTTGTTTTTTCTCAACGTTTTCAAAACAGAGCTTGTAATGGGGAAAGAGATGGGTGAAGCCTTTTGTCCGATGGGTATTTGCCCTTTACCCATGGATTTCTTCTGATTCTTGCCTTGGCTCCTTGTCTGACTTGTTTGGAGTCTCATCAGAGGTGGAACACGATGACAGCTTTTCCACAAGCTGCTGGATTGGGCTTGTGCATAATGTTGGGTTGCTGGCCTATTATTTCTAATGGATTTTCGTCAAACTGCTGGAAAGTGCTTTTGCTAATTTCTTTGGGGCACTCTATTGATGTAGGTTGGGCTAAGTATTTTAGTAGGTTACTTGGTGTCTTCCTAGGGCATGGGGCAATTTTCTCTTCTCTCTCATGCTAACCCATGTGCTTGGGTTCTAGGAACGGCCTTGAGTTTTAAGGCCCCCCAAGTGGCTTAAAAACTTGCGTCCCTTGAACCCTCAATGGGCCCTGTGATTGCTTGTTTCCTTCCATACCACAACCTTCTCAGTAAGTCCCGGTTAATTTTATGGCTTGGGCCCACTTAAGCTCGTGGCATAGCTTGGTGTTAGAATAGTGGCTTTTTGTGCATGATATCTATGCTTGTGCTTGGGGTTTTATTATACTGTGATAGACTATAATTGGGCCAAGTAGCACCGAATGAGCATGTGAGCGTGATTTAATAATGTCGGTATGTTCTTGGCCCCTTCTGCACGTGCTTGCTTGGCATGATTCGTGGCTTGTAGTTTGTGTTGGCGGCTCTTATAAATTCTCTTTTATCCCGATTGAGCCTATTTTGCATCCAATCACCTGTGTTGGGTCAAAGATTAATTTGGGTTTAGCCCCTTAGATTTTTGGGCCTCAACACCTGTAAGCCTATATATAGGTGGCTCTACCAAATATGAAAGAAGAATATACATGGTGAAACTTTATCTTTAACACATCACTTCTCTCTACATTTTCTACCTTAGTTTTATAACACGTTATCAGCACAACGCTCCTCGTGGTATGTTTTCTTTCCCTGATTTCTTCATTTTATTATATAAGCTAGAGTCAATGTTAGAGTTTCTTTATACTCACCATTGTACTTCACCATGCTCGTTTTAAAAAGCCAATGTTAGACATACCACATTTGCATACTAACTTATTTACAATATCTCTAATACAGGCGGAGCCCACCAATATGATGGCCAAACTCCATTAGAGAAGTGGTATACAAAGCGGTATATAAATGTATGATTAGCATTATTGTTTTCTCAAATACATAAAAAAAAATATACATTATAAATGGAGAAAACGGTTCAAAAAGTCTTGGGAAATCAAAGGCCATTATTTTTACATTTTATATTGTTTTGAGGTCTTGGTTCGGTGGGACTATAGGTTAGAGCAACTCCAGCGGTTGCCTTTGCCTAGGCAGGAGTGAGCCCAAATTGCAGGTTGGCATTCCAACGGGCCTAAGTTGCCCGGGCAGTAGTTGGGTCCTAGCAAACTGGGCTAGCCTAAAGGCAAAAACAGCCTGGACTGTTGCCTAAGTTGCTGACGTCAGCAATGAAAAAAAATTTAAAAAAATTTAAAAAAATACTAAAAATTTCAGAATTTTTTAAATAAATATTTAGATCTACATCAAAACTTCGTACAAATTCCTCTCATCGTATCTCATGTGAATAGTGGTTGTCATGGTAATGGGTGGAAACACCACAAGCCTTTGCAAGGTATGTTACTATTCACATAAATAGTAACAGCCCTTGTCTTGCCCTTGCTCTTTGCCATGACAAATGGGTAGAAGTGCTCTTAATGTTCCATATTCCAATGCAAAAGCATTTGCTACAAATCCCTTTTTTTAATTGATATAATACAACTATATGTATTATTCGCGTAAAATATGGTTTTCACAATTGAATGGGAAAAGTTTTTTTTTCAATAATACGTACTCGTATTATAAGCATAGTCATGCAAAAGGATATGTATTATCAAACACTCTAAAATTGATTATTGCACAAACAACCCTTTTGAGAAAAAGTTTACCAAACGCGAAACTATTTTCTTTCACAGTAAATTTGACAGCGATTATTTTCATAGCACATCAATATCAAACTGGCCCTAAGTTAGGGTTTTTTTTTCAATTCTTAATTAGAAGTAAATTGGGGTTTTGTTTTAAAGGATGATATGTCCAGTTTAAATCCTTTAGATTAAATTTTAACGAGGTGGCACTTGTAAGACGAAAGTCAAGTAGATCATGGTAGAGAAAATCATAGCAGAGGATCTGGATCCCATGTGGAAAGTCTACAGTTCAATTTTATGTTTTAAATTGAGCCAGAAAAATTATGTTCACTGCGTACCGATAACTCAGTATCTATAAAGTAAAAAACTGTTTAGCCAATATTCACCTTCTTTACCTTTTTTTTTCTTCGTAGTGTTCTGTATGCACTCTTACGTTGCACACGTGCCTGATATTTTTGTTTTGTTTAGTTTTTAGTTTTTAGTTTTAATTAATAGAACAAAGCAAATTATAGGTTCAAAGAAAAGGATTACGTGCGGATGAGAGAGAATCAGATGCCGCTGGACCACCACTCTTCCTTTTGATATATAAAGCGTACCCGTCTCTCACATTTTTCCACATTGGAGACACATTTTATTTTCCTCTGTTTTTCCTTTGGACACTTTCTTTGTGATTTTCTCGCAAGCCAAACGCTCAACAATGGCCGATCAGCTCACCGACGACCAGATCTCAGAGTTCAAGGAGGCTTTCAGCCTCTTTGACAAGGACGGCGATGGTCTCTTTTCTCAGATCCCTCTTTTTGTCTCTCTTCCATAAGAATTTTTGTTTTCGTTTTTGTTCTCTGTCCTTATGATGCTTAATTAATCTGTCATGTTTGGATCTAATGTTTTTCGCTTGTAAAAATTTGCGGTTGATGAAGGGTTTGTCAGCGATTGAATTGTTTTATGCTAGGAGCATGTTTTGATCGCTAGGACAAGGTCATTTTGTTAGATTTAACCTTCCAGCATGGTCGGGACTATTCTGGGTTGAATTTGATATGTAGATGGCTTATGCAGTCTCATTCTTTATTCGAACCATGTTTCCTCCCTTGTTTGGATAATTTATTCTATTTGGGAAAAACTGGGGTTTTGATTTAAGATATCTTTTATGGTTTTGGAGTTGCAGAAATACTTTTATGGTATTGGAATCGACACCACAATGTTATATGCTATACGTAAGAAAATAAAGAGATAATTTCATAAGAGATATACTGTATGTTGCTGTCGTTTAAGAATAGATATCACCAAAGGATGCATTGTTTGATAGTTTTTTGGTGTTATGGCACTGCGTCATGTGTGGTTGGAAGCAATCTGTGAATATATTTTTGAACAAATTTTGGTATCAGTTCACAATTTACAAAAAATAACCTTTTCTTTGTTTTCAGTAACTTTTCTGTTTTAGGAATCAGTGTAGATTGCTCTACAAGTCTACATTGTTTGACTATCGGGTTCATACTTAGGGTTTTTGTGAAATCTGGAAGTACTATATTAGTGGTTGCCTTCTCATAACATCATATGACATCCTTTTCTAGTTTTTACAATATTTAAGGGTCATGTGGCATCCTTTTCTAGATTTTACAGATCTTTAACAGTCCTGGAGTATTTTTTCCAGTTAAGAGTCAGTTGTTGGAAAGCATCTTGGTCATATTATTGGTTTTTTCGGCTAATCCATTCGTTTCTCTTCTTTTGGAATGGACAATTGTGAATTTATTTTGTCCTTTGCTCTATTCTTTCCTGACTGTTATTATGATATTTGTTTTAGAAATACCAGGATCTGGATCATTGTTTTGCCTTCTACTTATATGTTGTTTTCAGTATTGAAATTGTGGTGTGTGGAAGGGTTGTTGAAATGGGATAGTTCGTGTATGTGTGTGTATTTTTCCTTCCAGTTTAGTGGTGTTTCTCTCAACAATAATAACTTTAATAATATATTAGAATGAATTTTAAGGAAACAAGTGGTTTGTTCATTTGTTAGTAGCCTGGTTACCATTCCCCACCCACCAAACAAAAGAAGCTTGGTTATCTGCCTAAACAAATGTTACCAATTTCTTTGCTGTATTCTGCTTAAACGTTTCTTTAAATTTTGATGTAGGTTGCATCACTACCAAGGAGCTTGGGACTGTCATGCGCTCACTTGGTCAGAACCCAACTGAAGCTGAGCTTCAGGATATGATCAATGAGGTTGATGCTGATGGGAATGGAACCATTGATTTCCCTGAGTTTCTTAACCTGATGGCCAGGAAGATGAAGGACACTGATTCTGAGGAGGAGCTCAAGGAAGCCTTCCGGGTGTTTGATAAGGACCAGAATGGCTTCATTTCTGCTGCTGAGCTTCGTCATGTTATGACAAATCTTGGTGAGAAGCTGACAGATGAGGAAGTGGATGAGATGATTCGTGAGGCTGATGTGGATGGTGATGGGCAGATCAACTACGAGGAGTTCGTCAAAGTCATGATGGCCAAGTGAGGATCAATTGACCAAAATCAAAAATTTGATATAAAAACGTAAAAGGGACTGGGCAGATAAGTTTAAAGAGATTTCCGTATCCCCTTAGGACATCTTCATTTGGTATTGCTAGCTTTTGGTTGGTTCGTTGTCTCTTTTCTTGTATGCATTATTTGTGGTACTGTTCCTCTAGTATCTACTTGTTTGCTGTCTCTTAATAGTTCCTCTTTGGTAGTGTCCCTTACTTTTCATTGGTCTGTTCATTCTTCTTTTTGGTATCAATGACCTAGAACGATTGGGTGAATCTGATGTTTCTGCTTATGGGTGAGTATCATTGTTAATATTGCGAGTTTTAGTATCTCTGGTTAGTATGATCTTGTCATGCGTTTGTGCTCATTTGTTTCTGTTTTAAGGTATGAAATTTGAATTGATAGCTTTCATTTCAAATATTCCTGTTTAAAAACCATGGTACACATTTGAATTGGCCATCAGTTTCATTGCCCGTTATATTTTTCCCTCAAGATGACCTGCTAAAAGGACCTAACGTGTTTGTATGCGAAGTTCCCCGTATTACTCTCTCTCTCTCTCTCCTGTTGATACAGAAGTTGCTGGAGGATGACGTTTGTATTCGTAACACGACGCCTTTTAAAGCCATAGTCTTGCCTTTGCACGCGGCTTATAGACAAATCTTGATGATTTGAACCATATTATAAGGCTACATTGTGCAGTGTGGTTTATGTGTTTTTTGGGTTGTGAAGATGCGATAGACTAGTTGTTTGTGCGCCCTTGCTGTTTTCTTTTCTGTTTATCATGTTTTATGGGAGTACTATTTCATACGCCAGTCTTGGAGTCTGAAATGCACAGGTGGATGAGTTTGAGTTCACCGTATGTGATTCAGTATACTAAATGCTAGACTTGGATGGAAGAAAGTATAAATGGAAATGAAATGTGAACCTACTTGTTCTGATGAAACTTAACCAGTTACTCCATTAATGGTATGAAATTGTGTTTTATGTTTCGTTGATTGTATTTCCTGTCGTATGCTTTACTGCTTTCTTTCAAGGCCTGTTGAAAGGATGGGGGAGAGTAAGGGTTTTTGAATCTGAGATCGAAGCGACATTTTTTAGGAACATTTTTAAAGTCCATCTGCAGTCTTAAGGTAAATGTTTTATTTTTCTGGATAAAAAAAATGCGGAAACGCAAAGTTTAAGGTCTGTTTTACAACCTTGTGTTATTTATTTATTGATAATTCTTTTATATTTTAATTAAGGAAAAAAGGGAGATATGTGGAAGAAGTGAGGGATAAAGATGGCAAAACGGAATTGAATTTCATATATTTTATCTCGTCTGTTGCTGACCTCTTATCATCTCTCTTTCGGTTCCTCTCTTTTTTCTTCGTTATCTTTGACTGAAAATTAAAAGCTAAAAATAGGAATATCTTTATAGTGGTGGGGATGCTTTCACCCATTGAAGATGGAGACCCTACGTACGAAAAATATTCGAAAGTCCGGTAATTTCTTTAAAGGCAATTTGGAATCTAGGAATAGTTTTTTTTAAAGGGAAAAAGGTTTTGTTTTTGTTTTTAAAAAAAATTATAAAAAATTAATTTTTTGGGGAGGTTTCTTTTCTCGCTATAAAGTTTTCTTTTGTGTGGCGCTTGTGTTCTGTGATTGTAAATAAATTGCATGAATTTGGGCGTGAGGCATATCCGATTGCTCTTTGGGAAGAATCAAAGAATCACCTGCTGATGCGTTTGATGTTTTTGCTGCTGATTCTTTTTGAGGAGTATTTTTCTCTTGTGCTTGCTGGATTTTGTTTATTTAGCTACCTACTAAACTACAAGTGAGCCAGCCAAGCAAGCCATCATACCAAAAGAAGGTATATTGAAATGAAAACAATATCGCTTGCTTCCAAAAAGAAAAAAGATAAGTGTTGTATATTAAAAAAAACATTTTAATTTTTTTAATTTTGTAGACGGTATCTGTTAAGAGACAGACAAGTTCTGATTAGGAAAATAGCTTTTAAATATTCCTAAGAGAATACAGACCAAGAAAATTAGTTGCCCTAAAGAAATTCTGAAATATTTGACATGACCGACCATTTTTATACCACGACCTTGTTTCGTTTCAATTACAAGTTAAAGCTACCAACCAAGAGCGTAAAAGAAATGTTTTTGGTATTAGAAGATGCATGCATGCATGCTTCATGCATAAAGGATGGTCTTCTTGTTGGTAATGAATAACATCTTTAGGTCCGTTTGATAACGATTTCAATTTTTGTTTTTAGCTTTCATTTTTTGTGCTAAAGTATGGAGGAAAAAGAGGGAGAATGGAAGTGAGAAGATGATAGGCGAGGAAATGAGGGAGGAGTAACAAAAGTGAAAACTAAAACTAAAAACTGAAATCTATTTAAAATTGTTTTCACTTTTGTTACTTCTTCCTCCCATCCTTCCCTCTCATCTTTTCTCTCAATTTCACAATCACTCCCATTCTCACTCTCATTTTCCTCTGCACTCTAGCACAAAAAAATGAAAACTAAAAACTAAAAACTAAAATTAAAATAATTGTGAAACGGACCCTTAATTAATTATGTATTAAGCGCTGGTGAAGGTAAAGGTATTTAATTCTATTCAGAGACATTAGTGAAGTGAAGCTTATAGTCTTTTTTTATGTGTCTACTTATTAATTACAGAAGAAGCAGAAGTCGAAGTCGAAGTATCAAGAGCAGACAATGTAGCATGGATTCTAAGGAACACAAGACCAATGGCAAGAGGCGTCGTTGTAGACAGCGTGTCCGCGATTGTATCATCCTGTAACTATATATATATATATATATATATATATATGTTGTAAATATTATTGTAGATGCCCTTGTAATTACTTTTAATATCATGTATTTATCTTACATTATATACCTACGAGTCGTAGTCCATGTACTACTACGAGACTTGTGAGTCTATCTCTAGTCACCTGGTTCCTTATAAATAAGAGCTTATGAAAAGGGAAAATCACACTTTGATTTCTCTCAAATATTACTTGTAAACCGCATATCCTTCTCGTATAATGTACAACATGAACTCGGATTGAGGTCAAGGCCTATACCAGATCTTTCAAGTTGAGATGCTTTTCGTAGAAGACCTGCACACTTTGAACAACTATCAGAATTGGAGCGAATTGGGGTTGGTCCCAGTTGAACTCCCTCCGATGGTTAAGTCAGAAGTGGTTGTAAGGTGGAGAGAATGGATGTAGGGTTTGCACGATAAGAACATTTATTACCTTTGTCCAGAGGTAGGTGAGGGGTATTTATAGGGGGAGAAGGAGAGACAAAGATACTTAAGGAGGATATATTTATCTTCCTTATCCCTAGTAGGACTAGACCACATTAAATGACTTGTTTCTGATCACCATACTATCTAGCAGGGATTGTGTGATGGAGTGACATGTGGCTTTGAATGGAAGATATATTAAATGATCCCTCCTCTCCTTCACCAGTCTGTTCACTCGGGGATCAAGGGGTAAGGCGACACCTGGTCTTGGTGGGATGTACATTAACTGATCTATCTCACTTGCCAAACTGTCGTACCAAAAGGGTGGAGTGTTTGACTCAACAATGGTCTGATCATGCCTGTGGATCATTAATGCACCTCTGGTTGAACACATCATTAGAGTGGTCGGGTTGGTGTTCAAATGCCCGAGCGCTAATTCAACCTTTATCCCATCAGATCTTGGCTAGGAGGCCTTTTATTTTGAGGGTACCAAGTATGATCGGGTGGGTATTAAAGGTAACCCAGCCCAATTATGGCCACGTAGCGTTCTCTAATAGGCTCGGCTCACAGTGATGGTATGAGCCATTAGTAGCCCCCCAACTCTCAACTAAATGAGCCGATCTTAGGTGGGGAGTTTGTTAGGTAGTTTGCGTTTTGAGTGAGCCGAGCCTTTTTCAAATGGCATGATTGGCACAGGTTGGATCGGGTAGCCCCCAAGTCCTCAGCTGAGTAGAGCTCCTTGGGGAATATTTTATGGCGCCTGGTTTTGAAATTGGGGGTACTTGAGTAGGTGTGACATGGTCGTAGTTGATTGGCTGAGCAGGGATGCATTAAATGGCGTCTGCCATGAGACTTGCCGAAGGGTCACATCGAGGTGTGCTCTGTTGCTTCATCTGATGGCTGCTGTGGTGCGGCCATGTGTGATTATCTTGGAGGGTGTAGCCGATGCGTGAACAGTGGAGATTTCATGGTCGTCGTCGTATAAAAAGCTCGGAGTAGCCAACGGTTTTGAACATTTTTGTTTCGCCATTAAACTCGTTGGAGAGCTTGCTTTTTATTTTTTATATTTTTTATTTATAGTAGAATTTCGAGTGATTCCTTTGGTGCACCACTGTTGCAAGTAGGAGCCCCAGTTTTCGAGTTAGTTTCTGGTAAGTTCCTTCCTCTTCCTTTTGCTTGCCCAGAATCATAAGCCTTGAATGTCTGAGTTGCCTCGTGTTTTCTGGGTTTTGGCGTGTGTGCTAGTCAATTTTTCTTATTTTGGTATATTTTGATTTGTGAACTTCGCCCCTTCCTCCCTTAGTTGTGTTTGAAGTGTGTTTTGGAAGTGGTGTAAAACATGTTGAGCCGATTAGACATGTCTGACTCGCAAGATACGGTGAGTAGTGGGTCAGCTTTTAGAGATGATGAGGGGGATAAAGAGGTGGTGGAAGAGATGTATGAGGCAGCCGAGCAAATGGGCGAGGATATGCCCATTGGTCTTAGGGGGAACTTTGAGTACCGAGGTGCCAAAGAGAGGGTAAGATTTGAGGAAATGGAGGGTATTGACCAGAGTGGTGAGGGTAATGACCGGGGAGACCAGGGAGGGGTGACAGTTGCAGAGCAAGGAAAAAGGGAAGATCAGTTGGAGGCCAGGAATATAGGCACGAGGGTAGTCTCAAGCTTGGGTGGGGAGATCGAATCAAATGTAAAGATGGAACTGGCAGAGGGAGGATGGTCAACCAATGAACACTCGAGGACCAAGACACAGCAGAAGTTAGATCGATTGAGGGCAGAGTATGCTATATCGAGCAGTGTTAAACTTAGGGCGCCGATCGAAGATGAGAAGCCAAGCACGCCCCTTCTAGGATGGGTGACCTTGTGTGCAGACATGCTGAAGTCGGGGGTTTGGCTGCCCTTATCTCCCTTTTTGCAAGAGTGGATGAGTCAGCTCGGTGTAGCCCCCCACCAAATGAATCCAAACGTGTACAGGACCATGGTAAGTGTCCAAGCGTTGTGGCGGCGAGTACACAAGTCAGAGCCGACCATAAACCAGATGTTGCATTGCTTTCTGTTGAAGATGAGTTTGTACCAGGTCGGCTTCTGCTACCTTCAGAGTGCAGTGGGGAAGATAATTGAAAGTAATCCATCCTCTCAAAAGACATGGAGACCGCACTGGTTTTATGCGTCAGATGCGTGGGAATTTGCTGAGGGGGTAGAGTCGAGGTGTTCTAGGATACAAAGGCGCTTTAGAATTCCAGGTCAGGTTGATGTGCAAGATTAGTCAATTGAGCCTTCTTTTGCTATTACACATGTATACATATGTATATATATAATTTTTTTTAGGTGGGTGTTGTCCTGCATATAGTAATGCGTTACTTTGGGATCTAACATGTCTCGTGATTATTGCAGTTGAGTTTGATCGAGCTGAGCTATCTGCTACCGAGTAGGAACAAGTGAACCAGGTGCTTGCCTTGCCTAGTACCGAGAGAGCCGCAGATAGACTACTTTCAAGTGAAGGTTTGATCAACTCTGCAGGTGAGTTATTGCGATTTTGTGATAAGTGTAGTCAACGTGATTAGCCTTTAACTGTGTCGTGTTTGTACAGTGATGAGGTCAAGTTGAAATGACCCAAACATGCAGGCCAAGCCAATGAAGATGGCCAGGAAGGGTTCGTTTGGTGGGTCGGCTGGGAGTTTGCAGTTAGCTCAGGTAGAGGCCTCTCCCACATGTTGATGGCTCGAAGCCAGGAGACTAGTGTGGCTACAACTCCTGCTCGAGGAGCTCAGAAGAGGCGGGCTGATGAGCAACGGCCCTGGGACACATGGAAAAGAAGAGTTGAAGAAGAGCCGAGGAGGGAGAGCGAGATGAGGCAGGTGAGCTCATCTGCGCCAGAGGCTGGTAGGAGGATGATTGTGGACCCTGTGAGTGGTCCACTGGAGCCTTGGGTGGACGGGGAGGTGGTGGTCAGCTCGTACTAGGAGGCGATCATGTGGGTCCTGAAGGTCGAGGTTGTGGAGGGGCTATTCATCGAGGAGATGGGGCATAGCGGTATGACCCTAGCTACTTTGGAGGATGAGATGAAGGTAAAATACTCTGGCACTCTGGTGCTTCCTTATCCTTTGATGGCTTTGGTGTTTTTTTGTTTCTCATTAGTTTTTTGAATGCATGCCACTATGAAGCTATTCATCGCTGCTTAGAACGTCGTTGCTCATCGAGAGTTCGACCGAGGCAAAAGAGATGAGCAGGCGGTTACTGTGGCAAAGCTGAGCAGGACAATCAGTGAGCAAGTGAAGGTTGAGGAGGAGCTAGGGCTCGTGCGTGGTCGGGTCGAGGCAAAAATGAAGAAAAATGCCGAGCTGTTGTTGTCGGTGAACAAGCTTGCTAAGGATAAGTGTGGCCTGGGCATAGAATTGTCTAAGGCACGAAAGGATTTAGGTGAAGCCAATTGGAAGATTGAAGCCCTTGCCTCAGAGCTGCAGTCCTGCTATGATGACAGGGGTGAAGGATTACACCGAATTGGCTGAGTACCAAGAGAAGCTCGCCACCTCTTCCCTAAACTGGAGCTTTTTAGGTGAAAATGCCGAAGACGCCCCCAGCAGAGCAAGATGAAGGACCAGACGCCGAGCCTGTGGGTCAAAGAAGTGCCCAGATCGCTCAAACTGAAGACCCATGTACCCATGGTGGAGTGGTGACTTCACTAGAAGGGGATCCAACTGCGCAGGGAGGGGAGCCGACCATTCAAGGGGGAGAGCCGACCGGCGAGGTAGTGGTGATCATTCCGAATGAGACCAGAGGCGGCGAAGAAGCCTAAGTTTTTTTTTATTTTTTTTATTTTTTATTTATTTTTTTTACCATTGTCTTTGTAATGCATGTAATCTATTTTGAACAATGGGTTGACCTTTGGTCGGCTCGGTGTTAGTGTTAGACGTGCTTAGTACATGTTTGTGTTTGTTACATTGGCTTTAATTACTTAGTCTTAACTAATTTGTTTTGTGTTTACAAGTTTTTTAGAAGACATGCATGTGCGTTTGGTGTAAGCAGAGCCGACCAGAGGCCTTAAAACTAAAAATAACTTGAACAAAACCACTCCAAAAATAAAATACCGACCACAAACAAAGGAGAAGTAATGTGTAACTTCATTAAGTACGAAATCTATAGGTCAAAGAAATTGGATACTTCAAGTTCGTACAAAGTTCAATCGTAAATGGAGTGGTATGTGTATTGCATAGTTTTAGCGATTGGATTTCACTCAAAACTCACCAAATGACTCCACCCACGATATTATGATGTTGCCCAAGTTTTGGGCTCGATTTGAAATCAATAGGTCAAAGAAATTGGAGACTTCAAGTTCTTATGAAGTTCGTTCGTAAATAGAGTGGTGGGTGTATTGCATAGTCTTAGCAATTCCATTTCACTCAAAACTCACCAAATGACTCCTCCCACCAAATTATGATGTTGCCCAAGTTTTGTGTTCGATCGGAATTCACTAGGTCAACGAAATTGGACACTTCAAGTTCATACGAAGTTCGTTCGTAAATGGAGTAGTTGGTGTATTGCATAGTTTTAGCAATTAGATTTCACTCAAAAATCACCAAATGACTCCTCCCACCATATTATGAAGTAGCCTAAGTTTTGGGCTCAATCCGAAATCTATAGGTCAAAGAAATTGGATACTTCAAGTTTGTACAAAGTTCGATCATAGATGGAGTGGTTGGTGTATTGCATAGTTTTAGCGATTGGATTTCACTCAAAACTTACCAAATGACTCCACCCATCATATTATGATGTTGCCCAAGTTTTTGGCTCGATTCGAAATCAATAGGAGAAAGACATTGGAGACTTCAAGTTCTTATGAAGTTCGTTCGTAAATGGAGTGGTTGGTGTATTGCATAGTCTTAGAAATTCCATTTCACTCAAAACTCACCAAAAGACTCCTCCCACCATATTATGATGTTGCCCAAATTTTGTGTTCGATCCGAATTCACTAGGTCAACGAAATTTGACACTTCAAGTTCATACGAAGTTCGTTCGTTAATGGAGTAGTTGGTGTATTGCATAGTTTTAGCAACTAGATTTCACTCAAAACTCACCAAATGACTCCTCCCACCATATTATGATGTTGCCTAAGTTTTGGGCTCTATCCGAAATCAATAGGTCAAAGAAATTGGATACTTCAAGTTTGTACGAAAGTTTGATCGTAAATGGAGTGGTTGGTGTATTGCATAGTTTTAGCGATTGGATTTCACTCAAAACTCAACAAATGACTCCTCCCACGATATTATGATGTTGCCCAAGTTTTGGGCTCTATCCGAATTCAATAGGTTAATGAAATTGGACACTTCAAGTTCGTACTAAGTTCGTATTGTAAATGGAGTGGATTATGTATTGCATAGTTTCACCAGTTAGATTTCCTTCAAGACACACCAAATGACTCCTCCCACCATATCACAATGTTTCTTAAGTTTTGGAGTTGATTCGAAATAAATAGGTCAAAGAAATTGGACACTTCAAGTTCGTATGAAATTCGTTCGTAAAAATAGAGTGGTTAGTGTATTGCATAGTTTTAGAGATTGAATTTCACTCAAAACTCACCAAATGATTCCTCCCACCATATTATGATGTTGCCCAAGTTTTGGGCTCGATTCGAAGTCAATAGGTCAATGAAATTCGACACTTCTAGTTCATACAGTAAATAGAGTGGTTGGTGTATTGCATAGTTTTAGCGATTGGATTTCACTAAAAACTCGTCAAATGACTCTTCCCGCCATATTATGATGTTCCCCAAGTTTTGAGCTCGATCACCAAGTCAATGCAATTTGACACTTCAAGGTCGTACGAATTTCATACTGTAAATGGATTAGTTGGTGTATTGCATAGTTTTAGCGATTGGATTTCACTCAACACTCACCACATGACTCCTCCCACCATATTACAAAGTTTTCCAAGTTTTGGGCTCGATTCAAATTCAATAGGTCAATGAAATTTGACACTTCAAGTTCATACTGTAAATGGAGTGGTTGGTGTATTACATAGTTTTAGCGATCAGATTTTACTCAAAGCACACCAAATGACTCCTCCCACAATAGGATCGATCCAAAGTCAATAGGTGAATGAAATTCGACACTTCAACTTCGTATGAAGTTCATACTATAACAGGAATGGTTGGTGTATTGCATTGGTTTAGCGATTGGATTTCATTCAAAACTTACCAAATGATTCCTCCCGCCATATTACAATGTTGGCCAAGTTTTGTCCTCGATCTGAAATCAATAGGTCAAAGAAATTGGACACTTCAAGTTATGAAGTTCGTTCGTAGATGGAGTGGCTTTTGTATTGCATAGTTTTAATGATTGGATTTCACTCAAAACTCACCAAATGACTCCTCCATCCATATTATGATGTTGCCCAAGTTTTGCGCTCGTTCTGAAATTAGTAGGTCAAAAAAATTGGACACTCCAAGTTCGTACGAAATTCGTTTGTAAATGGAGTGGTTAGTGTATTGCATAGTTTTTGCGATGAGATTTCACTCAAAACTCACCAAATGACTTCTCCCGCCATATTATGATGTTGCCCAAGTTTAGGGCTCGATCCAAAATCAATAGGTGAAAGAAGTAGGACACTTCAAGTTCGTACGAAATTCGTTCGTAAATGGAGTGGTTGGTGTATTGCATAGTTTTAGCGATTGGATTTCACACAAAACCCACCAAATGGCTCCTCCGGCTCGATTTGAATTCACTAGGTCAATGAAATTGGACACTTCAAGTTCGTAGTGTAAATGGAGTAGTTGGTGTATTGCATAGTTTTAGCCATTGGATTTCACTCAAAACACACTAAATGACTCATCCCACGACATTATGAGGTTTCCCAGAGCGATTGGCCAAAGAAAATGAACACTTCAAGTTCGTACAAAGTTCATGCCGTAAATAGAGTGGTTGTTGAATTGCATAGTTTTAGCAATTGGATTTCACTCAAAACTCACCAAATGACTCCTCCAAACAAATTATGATGTTGCCCAAGTTTTGGGCTTGATCTAAAATCTATAGGTCAAAGAAATTGGACGCTTAAAATTCATGCAAAGCTCATTCGTAAATGGAGTGGTTGGTATATTGCATAGTTTTAGCAACTGGATTTCACTCAAAATTCACCAAATGATTCCTACCCCCATGTTATGATGTTCCCCAAGTTTTGAACTTGATCCAAATTCACTAGGTCAATGCAATTTGACACTTGAAGTTCATATGAAGTTCGTACTGTAAATGGATTGGTTGGTGTATTGCATAGTTTTAGCAATTCGATTTTACTCAAAACACATCAAATGACTCCTCCCACAATATTATGATGTTGCCCAAAGTTCGTACGAAGTTTGTTCTTAACTGGAATGGTTGGAGTATGGCATAATTTTAGCGATTGGATTTCACTCAAAACTAACCAAACGACTCCTCCCACCATATTACGATGTTGCCCAAGTTTTGGGCTCGATTCGAATTCAATAGGTCAAGAAATTGGACACTTCAAGTTCAAAAAAAGTTCGTTCCGCAAATGGAGAGGTTGGTGTATTGCATAGTTTTAGCAATTGGATTTTACTCAAAACCCACCAAATGGCTCCTCCCACCGTGTTATGTTGTTGCTCAAGTTTTGGGCTCAATCCGAATTCAATAGGTCAATCAAATTCAACACTTCAAGTTCGTACAAAGTTCGTACTGTAATTGGAGTGGTTGGTGTGTTGCAGAGTTTTAGCGATTGGATTTCACTCAAGGCACACCAAATGACTCCTCCAACAATATTTCGATGTTTCCCAAGTTTTGGAGTCGATCCGAAATCAATAAGTCAAAGAAATTGGACACTTCAAGTTTGTACGAAGTTTATTCGTAAACGGCGTGGTTGGTGTATTCCACAGTTTTAGCAATTGGTTTTCAGTCAAAACTCACCAAATGACTCCTCCCGTCACATTATCATGTTGCTCAAGTTTTGGGCTCGTTTCGAAATCAATGGGTCAAAGAAAATTGGACACTTTAAGTTCGTACAAAGTTCGTTCATAAATGGAGTGGTTAGTGTATTGCGTAGTTCTAGAGATTGGATTTCACTCAAAACACACCAAATGACTCCTCCCACAATATTACCATGTTGCCCAAATTTTGGAGTCGATCCGAAATCAATAGGTCGAAGAAATTGGACCCTTCAAGTTCGTACGAAATTCGTTCATAAATAGAGTGGTTGGTGTATTGCATAGTTTTAGCAATTGGATTTCACTCGAAACTCACCAAATTAGTCATCCTGCCATATTAAGATGTTACCCAAGTTTTGGGCTCGATCCGAAATCAATAGGTCAAAGAAATTTGAGTCTTCAAGTTCGTACGATGTTCGTGAATGGAGTGGTTGGTGTATTGCATAGTTTTAGCATTTGGATTTCACTCAAAACTCACCAAATGACTCCTCCCACCATATTACGATGTTGCCCAAGTTTTGGGCTCGATCCAAAGTCAATGGGTCAATGAAATTCAACACTTCAAGTTTGTACGAAGTTCGTACTGTAAATGGAGTGGTTGGTGTATTACATAGTTTTAGCGATTGGATTTCGCTCAAGACTCACCAAATGACTCCTCCCGCCATATTATGATGTTGCCCAAGTTTTGGGCTCGATTTAAAATCAATGGGTCATAGAAATTGGACACTTCAAGGTCGTATGAAATTTGTCTGTAAATGGAGTAGTTGGTGTATTGCATAGTTTTTGCGACTGGATTTCGCTCAACACTCACCAAATAACTCCTCCCACCATTTTATATTGTTCCCCAAGTTTTGGGCTTGATCCGAATTCACTAGGTCAATGCAATTTGACACTTCAAGTTCGTACTGTAAATGGATTGGTTGGTGTACTACATAATTTTAGTTATTGGATTTCACTCAAAACACACCAAATGACTACTCCCACAATATTACCATGTTGCCCAAGTTTTGGAGTGGATCCGAAATCAATAGGACAAAGAAATTGGACACTGCAACTTTGTACGAAGTTCATTCGTAAATGGAGTGGTTGGTGTATTGCATAGTATTAGCGATTGGATTTCAGTCAAAACTTAGCAAATGACTCCTCCCGCCATATTATGATGTTGCCCAAGTTTTGGGCTCGATCTGAAATCAATAGGTCGTAGAAATTGGACACTTCAAGGTTGTATGAAATTCGTTCGTAAATGGAGTGGTTGGTGTATTGCATAGTTTTTGCGATTGGATTTCACTCAAAACTCACCAAATGACTTATCCCGCCATATTATGATGTTGCCCAAGTTGTGGAGTCAATATGAAATCATTAGGTTGAAGAAATTGCACACTTCAAGTTTGTACGAACTTCATTCGTAACTGGAATGGTTGGTGTATCGCATAGTTTTAGCATTGGATTTCACTCAAAACACAACAAATGACTCCTCCCGCCATATTATGATGTTGCACAAGTTTTGGGCTCGATCCGAATTCACAAAGTCAACGAAATTGGACACTTCAAGTTCGTATGAAGTTCGTATTGTAAATGGTGTGGTTGGTGTATTGCATAGTTTTAGCGATTGGATTTCACTCAACACTCACCAAATGACTCCTCCCACCATATTATGATGTTTCCCAAGTTTTGGGCTCGATCCGAATTTAGTAGGTCCACGAAATTGGACACTTCAAGTTCGTACGAGATTCGTATTGTTTATGGAGTGGTTGGTGTAGCATAGTTTTAGTGATTGGATTTCACTCAAAACTTACAAATGACTCCTCCTGCCATATTATGATGCTGCCCAAGTTTTTGGCACGATTCGAAGTCAATAGGTCAATGAAATTCGACACTTCAAGTTCGTACAAAGTTTTTACTGTAAATGGAGTGGTTGATGTATTGCATAGTTGTAGCATTTGGATTTCACTCAAAACACACTAAATGACTCCTCCAGCCATATTATGATGTTCCTGAAGTTTTGGGCTCGATCCGAATTCGCAAGGTCAATGCAATTTGACATTTCAAGTTCGTACGAAGTTCTTAATTTAAATGGATTGGTTAGGGTATTGCATAGCCTTAGGAAGTATTTTGGTTACTTTCACCAACCAAAATAATGACAGCTTACAGGTAATTTCTTCATGCTTATAGATAAACTCTTAAGCTCAGCGTGAGTGGCATGTGGCATGGAAGCAAAATCAACATGAGTTTAGCACTAAGAGAAAATTTAGGCTTGCTTTGAGGGAAAAGGAAGTGTTAGGGTAAGAAAAGAGAAGTTTTGTGAGAGATTTGGCTAAGAGAGAGGAAATAGAGAACAGAGTTCTTCCGGCAGCTTGACAGATGCTCTGTCTGCCAGAGGAGAAGAATGGAGAAGAAAGGTGAATAGTGCACGAGGTTACTGGGTTTTTTGCAAGTTAGAGAGAAAGCTTGTTCTCTGAATATGAGTTGGATTTGTTAGGTAGGAGAAGCCTCATTTTATAGCCGCTGGAAACCACCGCTTCTCAAGAAACCCTAATGGCTTCTACGCATTTTGGCCAAGCTTTTCCTCTCCTTTCTCATCTCCCTCCTTGACTCTTCCCATTTTGATGAAATCCCTTCTGTCTATTTGCACCAGATTAGAGTTTTTTTGAAGCTCAAGGTCCCCTTTTCCCACAGCTGTCTCAATGGCAGACTTCCATTCCCAGCCATCTCTTTTATTGCTTTCTTCCCTTTTTTCCATGGCCAAGTCTGATGGGAAAAGGAGTTGGGATATATATGCTGGTCCGAAGGGTGTTTCTCTCTTTGGTATCTTACACACTAATACCCCCTGGTTCCTTGGATGTTTTGGCTTTGAAACTTGCTCCCTCCATGTGTTGGAACCTCCCAGCAGCTCTGTTCAAAGATCCTGCAGACCTTCTCTACGTGGCTTCTATTTTTCCAGCAAAGGGCTGAGGTTTTTGTGGCTTATTTTGGAGTTTTGTATGGGCCAAGGTGGTTCCTTAAGCAAGTGGGCTATTTTTGTTAAACATTGGGCTTTTTGGTTGTGTCAATAGGCTATTTTGCTTGGGCTATTGGGCTATTTTTCTCTCTTGTGCTCACCCACATGTTTGGGTCTAAGAAATGGGCTTGAGTCTCGAAGCTCCCAAGCAACCTGAGACCTTCCATTTCTCAGCCCATCAATGGGCCTCATGTTGATTCATTACCATTCATACCACAACCCACTCAAGCAAGCCCCGGGCGTTTGAGTGGCTTGGGCCCACTTAGGCTTGTAGTGTGGTTATGTGTGAAATAACGATTTCATGCTTGGCATGGCATGTTGCTTGGCATGTTTTTATTTTATCATCCTTGGGAAGGGTTGCGATGTTTAATTTTAGCATGGGTTCGTAAATCAAGCATATTTTATCTCAACTCTTAGCATGACAATTTATTTATTTAGCGTGGCACGTGAACTGTAACTCGCATGTGGTGGATTTTCGTGTACTTCTCTTTACATCTTTTCTTAATAGAGCGTCGCTTTGGGCCAATAATTTATTCGGGCCCAACCGTGAAGTTTTGGGTCCCAACAAGAACCAGAAGTCTTAAATTTTATTAAACTTGAACATGTAACTTCAAGTACATAAAATACATATTATAATCCAATCATCTCCTTAAAATTATTATCCTTAACATTTATATTATTGATGCATACTGTTATTTTTATTAATTCTTTATTTCTATCTTTATAGATATACAACAATGTCAAATCTTGCTAAGATTGATTTCACTGCACTAGATATTTTTGGCAAGAACTATCTAATGTGGGTTCTCAATGGGGAAATTCATCTGCATGTGAATAACATGGGAAATATCATCAAGCAAGGAAATCAAGCATCCATGCAGGATCGCGCAGAAGCAATGATTTTCCTTGTTGTCATCTTTGTGGAGGATTGAAAACTGAATATCTTGGGCTAAAAACTATTCCCTAAAGTGAATGCAAATGAGAATATGCATACATTATCGCCTTAATCAAATGCAAGCAAATACGGATGTGGCTGAGGTCGTGGTCATGGTCATTACAGTTCCCAAATTCGAGGAAGTTATTCAAACAAGAAAAACACATCATACCACCAGCAGTGGAATAATAATAAAGGAAAAGAAAAGGAAAGTTTTCTCATCGCATTGCATTTTGATTATGAAATTGGGAAAATATGGAAGCACGATATAGGTCTCATAAATTGAAAGAACATTATACCAATTGAAATGACTAATTGAAACCTTCCATTATGATAATTATTAAAAATAAAAATAAAACTAGAGAGGTTTCCCCAGGAGCCACAGAGGCGGAAGGGAAAAAAAGAAACAAGAGGTGAAGCAAAAAAGAAAAAGAAAAGCAAGGAGTGCCAATGCACTGGTGTTAAGGTTGTGAGTTTTAAAGGTGTAGTTGGGGGTTTGAAACCTCTTGCCTTCACCACTTAAATATTTTAAGGGTATTCTATTATATATTTATTAATTTTAAAATAAACATATATTTATCAAGCCAAGTTCGGGGACGAGGATATCAATATATCCCCTACCTATACCTAACGAGGATTTTTAAACTTCGAGGATACTAGTACCCCATTCCTATTTTGTCCCAAAATCGGAGATTTATGCCATTGCTACACGAGCCCATCTAATTAATTCATCTCTACCTTTAAATGTCTACATATTAAACTTATGTTACTTGAAGTTCAAATTTGAAATATTAATGCCATGTTAATGATACTAAAAAGGATTTCAAACAAAAAAAAAACTCAAAATAATTACCTCGTAAGGTCAAAATAACTTGCATTAAATTTGTGGTCGACAATAAATTATTGAAAAAATAAATATATTTCGATTCATCGTCACTAAATAATAGGTAAAATTCGGTCATAAGATACCGAACCCCTTTTCAAGTTACGATGGACCTCCACCGCATCTTAAGTTAATGGCCAGTCAAACACAATCAAAATAGGTTCAATGTTTCAGTGGCATGCCATCGAATTTCCCTATCACATTTAGTACTGGTGTGCTGCATGTAACCAGCGACCACCATGAAACCCTAAACTTGAAAAACACCAAAAAATAAACTCATACCTTATTTGAAGCCTCCCTAACTTTAGTCTCACCTTTCATATTAGGTATGTTTTCACCAATATAAGCGTATAAACCCTGATAGGGTTGTTGGAACATGATGGTTTGAGAAAAAAGTCTAACTATGGTTGCAGGAAAGTATGTGGGGGAGTAGTGAGCAAATTAATTTTTATTTTAAATGTTTTTGTCCTTAGCAGTAGTTACACACAAGGGTAAAATATATTATTCATGTATAAAATTAGTATGAGGTCAAAAGGGAAAATTATGGGGTTCAAATAAAATCACCCTTTTTTTAATATAAGTTTTTCCATTTTAACTTTTTTAATCAAATAAATAATAGGAATTAAAACGCAGTTGTTATATCCAACCAACGGTTAATAACTGATGAAACAAGTCCGCACCACTCCATAACTTTGGTCACCAGTAGACTGCGAGTTCCCGCCACTTTTGCCCTTTCATTCTCTCAGTGAAGACTGAAGAGTGAAGGCAATAGTCTTAGAAATGAAGATTGAAGATTGAAGATTGAAGATTGAAGATTGAAGATTGAAGAAGATGCTGTGGGTGGACAAGTACAGACCCAAAACCCTAGACCAGGCAATGGTCCACCAAGACATCGCACAAAACTTCAAGAAACTTGTAGAACCCAGACCTCTCATCTCTACTGGTTTCATTTTCCAATTTCTAGTTTTTATTTATAATTGAAATTTTGGCATCTTGATCTCAAACGGGGTCTCAGAGCAGGACTGGCCCCATTTGCTATTCTATGGCCCTTCTGGTTCCGACAAGAAAACCCTAATCATTGCCTTTCTTTCGGACCTAGCGCCGATAAGGTCCCTGCTTTTTTAACTCACACTCTTTATTGTTTTAAATTTCTCCCAGCCCAGTAATAATTATCAATTTATGCGTATTTTGGCCTTTACCCTTTGTTTGGCTACTGAGAACATCCTTGAAGAGAACCAAAGTTTCTTTTGTGACGGATTATGGATTTTGAGAAATTCTTGTGGTTGGCAGGTGAAGGTGGAAAATAGGGCATGGAAAGTTGATGTAAGCTTCACCCTCTTTTTAATTCATGTTGTTTATACCAAAATGAACAACCTATAAGGACCAGACACGTTGACAAGATTGAGCCTGGCAATGGTGGCCTTCAGCACCTTGCCTACCGATCCAGCGATTAGGGCAACTCCCTTCTCCAAGACACATGGCATGCCCACAATCGACGTCCACAGTCCCACATCGAAATTCTAAACAATATGCACACCTCCCAAGGCCTATAAAGGAGGATCACTATCCCCAAGTGGAGGTAATCAGAACTTACGGCATACAGCCTATTGGTTTGTTAGTCTAAGTATACTAAATCCGTACTTACTTAAGCATCGAAGTGCCTTCGGCCGGTACCACACTGGTGCCTGAGGTCTTACCGAGCGTTTGTTATCTTGTAGATCACACGTCCCGTAGAGACCCGAAGCATATCGAAGGCCCAACATCACTAAGTTGAGCCCAAAAAGTGCCAAACCACTTTTTCGCATCAATAGTTCGGCGTCGTCTGTGGGAAACGATTTGAATCGACCCATTATCCCTGAAAATGCATGGGGACCACCTCAGTACATGTATTCCTGCTCGAGGAAGGATTGCCGTTCTAAAGGCAATGTGGAGCAAGCCCAGCTCTACCCCCTTGCACCTCCTTTGGCAATTCGCCCATAATGCAAACGACTACCGAAGCTGAGCTTCTGGCCCAAATAACTTCTCTTTGGCAGGATATGGCTAAACTACAGGAACATAACAACCTACTCTCGTCTAAAGTGGACGAAACCCAGCAACTGCTCAATCAGCAGCATACGCAAAACATCCAACCCACCCAATCCTCTAAGAGCTTGCAGACTCCAAGTTGGCAGAGAAAAAGCAAGAAAGGGGCAAAGGCATAGCCTGCGCCCTCCAAATAGCTGGTAGTCCCGGCTCCCAGAGACCAACCCCATGTATCGAAGAAAGTCTACACCGATTGTCACCATTGGCTTAACGATAGGGAAGTCGAAACACAGAGATCTCCGATCAGGATCAATGCGCATCTAAGGGACTCACGGATGAGTGTTCTCGAGAACAAATCACCCATTCAAAAGGTACGAGGACTAGAATCCACGACAGAGTCAGACCACGAGTACGTTCCCTCCAAGACCCAAGGATCAACCTACCATTCGACAATGCCTACACGATATTCTAAGGCCAAGATATCGAGTCCACCGAGACATTCGGAGGACTATGGTTTCGAAGAGATTCCTAGCCGAGATCCCGTCATCCGACTTCTTTTTCAGAAAGTTCAGAAGATGGAAAATGACCGAACCCACTCTCAGGAGCCCGATTGGGGAAAGCTTCGGCCAGGGCCGTTCACAGAACTCATCAGGCATTCCCGGCAGGATCGGGATGTGCAACCACTGCGCATACCGTTCTACACCGAGGTGGAGGAATCGGCGTTAAAAAATTATTCGACACAGGAGCCATCGTACCCTCCAAACGAAAGAAAAGATCAGTATGCTGTAGACCACAAAAGGAAAGATAACCATGATGCTCGGCAGGGGCACTCAAAGAAAGGAAAGGGGAAGTACGGTGGCAATGACCACCAAGTGCCATTACCGAATCATGACCGCAGTCAGGAAGTTTTCACCTTGCTGAATATTACCTACGAGGCTGTTCTAATGAATGAGCAAGAGATAATACCCAAACCAGTTAACCGGAAGCCCAATCGATAGGACAATCGAGATACTGGGATGTTCTGCCGATACCATCAGCACAATAGCCATAACATCGAGGAGTGCATAAGTCTGAGGAAAATCGACGAGCGTTTTATTCGGGAAGGAAAACTGGATCAATACATTGCCAGACCACCACAAGCGCCAGTTCCAAACGTAAATCGGCAGATCAACATGATCAACACCATCGTTGGAGGTCCCACACTCGCTGGTATATCCAACCGGTTGAGGAAGCAGTATGTTCGAGTAGCACAATACTCTCAGGTCTTCGGCATAGAGGTCAACCGACATCATAAAGCACTGAGGGTTAGGTGGGAACCCATCACCTCCAAACAGAATTTATCGAGTTCTTACGGCATCACTTGGAGGTGTTCGCCTGGGCTTATAACGATATGTCAGGCATTTCCCCCGAGATCATTAGCCACAAGCTCAGCATCTCCCCCGCTTACAAAACTGTGCGTAAAAAGCGTTGTTTGTATGACACCGAACGATACGAGGCCATGAGAACGAAAGTAGACAAGCTCCAAACCATCGGTTTTATCAGATAGGCTACATACCCCGTATGGTTAGCAAACTCTGTCATGGTTCGGAAAACGAAAGGTGGGTGGCGAATGTGCCAAGACTATACTGATTTGAATAAGGCCTGCCCGAAGGATAGCTTTCCGTTACCTCAAATCGACCAGCTCGTAGACGCCACTGCCGGTCATGAGCTTCTTAGCATCATGGATGCATATTCGGGATACAATCAGATATTCATGAACCCTGTCGACAGCGAACATACGACATTTATCACGGACAAAGGATTGTATTGCTACAACGTCATGCCGTTCAGCCTGAAGAATGCGGGGGCAAAGTATCAAAGGCTTGTTAATTGAATCTTCCCTGAGCATATCAGCAGTACCATGGAAGTCTATGTTGACGTATGCTAGTAAAGAGTAGGACGGCAAGAGAGCACCTGGGCAACCTATCTCTCATGTTCGACATCTTGAAAAAGTACCAAATGTGGCTAAACCCTATGAAGTGCACCTTCAGTGTGTCTTCTAGAAGGTTCCTCGGCTTCATGATCAGTTAGAGAGGAATCGAGGCAAACCCCGAGAAAATCAAGGCCATAATTGACATGGAGAGGCCGAAGACACAAAAGGACATTCAAAGTCTTACCGGACGTGTCGCTGCCTTAACTCCCTTCATCTCCAAAGCCACCGATAAATGTGTACCATTCTTTAAAGCCTTGAAAGAGGGCAAGCATCATGTTGCATGGACTGCCGAATGCGATGAGGCATGTCAAAACTTAAAGAACTACATGAGCAAGGCACCCCTGCTGTCAAAACCCCTCCCAGGGGAGGTTCTGTTTCTTTACCTTTCGGTATCTAATATTGTCGTCAGCTCAGTTTTAATACGCAAACTAGAGAAGGCAGAACTACCGATCTTCTACGTCAGTAAAGCACTGCAAAGTGCAAAGCTTCGGTACCCTCCCCTAGAACAGCTGGCCCTGGCTCTCGTTGTCTCAACCCGAAGACTCCGTCTGTACTTCCAAGCGCATGAAATCATGGTCTTAACCAACCAATCGCTTCGGCAGGTACTCTAGAAACCGGAGACATTTGGCCGATTGGTCAAGTGGGCAATCGAGCTAGGAGAGTTCGACATACAATTCAAGTGAAGACCTGTTGAGAAGGGACATGCCATCGTTGATTTCATCTCCGAGCTCACACCTCCAATAACACTAGAGCCAGCATATTCACAAACTAATGCCGAAGAGCCTGGGGTGCCGAGTGCAAAATATTTTGATCCTTGAATTCCCTTGTCAATCTTGCAAGTCGATGGTTCGGCAAATCAGCAAGGGTGCGGAGCTGGCCTTGTACTTACTGCTCCAGATGTGGTCAAGATGGAATATGCCCTCCGATTCAGCTTTCAGACGTCCAACAACGAAGCATAGTACAAAGCCCTCTTAGTCCGCCTTCGACTGGCCAAGAGTATGGGCGCCAGGCAGATCAGCATCCACTGTGACTCCCAACTCATCGTAAACTAGGTAACTTCCGATTTTGTAGCCAAGGACGTATCCATTCAGCCTACTTGTCATCAGCACACCAACTACTTCAAAAATTTCTGGCGTACGAGATTCGACAAGTACCCAGATAAGAGAACAGTCATGCCAATGCACTCGCCAGGCTAGCATCGGCGATAAATGACAAAGTCGGTAGACAGGTTCCTGTGGAGATATTAACTCACCCGAGCACTACGATGGTTAACGTATGTGTCATATGGTATGAGGACACTTGGATGTCCCCAAAACACGTTACTTAACAAACGGCACCCTTCGTAATGACAAAGCACAAGCAAGGAAGTTGCTGTACCGATCGGCAAGATACACCATCATCAACGACGTCTTATACAAACGCGGCTACACCACTCCGTATCTGAAATGCATCACTACCGAACAAGGGGACTATGTCCTTCGGGAGATCCACGGTGGGGTTTGTGGCAATCATGCCAGTTCTCGATCGTTGGCACACAAAGCCTTCCAGTAAGGATACTATTGGCCAACCATGCATCAGGACACATACAAACTGGTGAAGAGTTGTGATAAGTGCCATTGATTCGGCAACATACCCCATGTCCTTGCGTAGCCATTGACGTCGATCATAAGCCCATGGCCATTTGCCTAGTGGGGACTTGACTTAATTGGTCCAATGCTGCAAGGTAAAGGCCAGGTCAAATATGTTGTTGTTTCCATAGATTACTTCACCAAATGGGTCAAAGCCGAGGCTCTAGCAACCATTACGGCAACCAGGATAGAAGATTTTGTTTGGACCCATATTTGCTGCCGAAAGCCTTTTGTTGTTTGAGAATGTTCATCGATTTGAAAAGTTCACTCGGCAATATAATTTTTATTAGCCCTCAGCAATAAAAGTCAGGACCTTGATTCTACCGATTGAAGCTACAGATGCAATTTTCACTGAGAAAGTTCACCTAAGTAATTTCTATCAGTAGATACGGTTAGCCATCGACAATCGTTATCTAATCAGCAGGGCATATTGAAAATAAAAACAATAATGAATAAACAGAATACCGAATAAATTAAGAGGATGCCCTCGCCACCAAGGTGTTTGGAATTATGTCTCCTTATGGCAAGATACAAATATAAAATTACAAATTACATGCTGCGAACAACTCAAACGGTATCCCCTTCATCGGCAGCTTCAGCGCCCTCAGTAGCAGCGGCAACAGCAGGACTCTCGATGGCGGTGACATCTTCCGGAGCATCCTCCCCTTCGTAGTCTTCAATCATCTCTTCTGTGACGCCTTCCGATAGAGGAGGAGGATCAGTAGCAAAGCTCAGGTTCAGCTTCTGCCCAGGGTTGAACCGTTTGAAACGGTACAGAAGATCTGCCATCTCCGAGCCCACTTCATTGTCCAGTAGGGCAGTGAACTTGTCAGACGAACGGTAACCCCTGATCACCTCTCGAACGGCAGCCTTGATTTCTACAGCCTTTGCCCGCTCGGAATCCTCCAATGCTACCTGCATAGCCTCCTTTGCTGCCTCGACGTCCTTCGCCGCCGTCACCGCAGCATCCAGAGCCGCCCTCATCTCTGCCAGTTTGGCCTCAGAAGCTTTGACTTGCCGTTCGGTAGCCTGTTTTTCCTTCAGGAGATGAGCGTGATCCTGGAGAGCCTTTCCTAACTTGGCAACCTTGGCACAACCATCCTCATAAGCCTTTTTGGCACGCTCGGTAGCCGAGATGGCCCGCTTCACGCACAACCACATGTCCATCGATGCCTAAAAGGTAAAACCAAAAGTTAGAACAAGTGTAAGAGCTAACGGCAAGCTAAGTAAGGGTAGAGGAAACTTACAGAAGCCTGGAGATGGAAGGCACATCCGGGCTCTTCCCGAAGGAGCCTATTTAGGAGTTCCTTGATCTCTGATTGGACCGTCTTTGGTGGACAGGCGATATTGATAGGTTCAACAGGGCCATCATCTTCCTCGGTAGCAAAGACGACCCTCGAAGCCTCTGTATGTCGCCCGAGTTTGGGCACCGGCTCGACGTCCAGATCTACGTTGGCCGTTTCTCATCCAATGTAGAGGCAGTAGCCTCGGTAGCCTGCTCTCGCCTCGACCACACCACTAATCACTGACTCGGCACTCAGCTGCCTCAGCCGATCGGCAAGAGTCTGATCCTTTGGATCAACCTCGGCCGTTGTTGATTCGATTCCTAACAACTAAAATGAGTTATTAAAAACAGCAACTTTAATTCTTGCAAGTGCACGAACCGTTTATAGTATAGCTTATGTAAATACGAGGTCAATCCCACGGAGAATGGTAACTTGGTTCCAAGTTAAATTACTTAGAATGCTAGAAAAATAGAAAACAAAGGAACTGACTAACTAACTAAAGGCAAAGTCGAATTCAACAATGCCTCTTGCTAATTACTCAAGGTCTAGGACAAAATCCTAGCACCACACACGCACTCGAAATGGGGGGGTTTTGTTGTTGAAATGAAAAGAAGAAAGTGAAATGAAAGTGCTCGAAAGTAAACACTGGACAGATTGTGAATGCATAGAAATTGACTCAATCTTCGTCAACAATAGATTATCGCATACAAGCCTATTGTATCTAGGTGCATGATGCATGATTCTCCTAAGGCATGTAATTGTGTGTGGTATCTACACAACACGTGATCTCAAATATGCAACCTAAGCATGGTATCTACTTAGATTAAAGCACACAGGAGTCATTAGGCTCCATGAGAATATGATAATCACACAAGTTCTAGAACATGGTATCTGTCCTAGCCAACCTATGGTTATTAACCCCTTGAATGATTCTTAGGCCATTCATATGTTGCTTGTGAAAGGAGAGTAGAATTGGTGAATGTAAACCCCTTCCCAACCTGTGCTAGATGCATAAAATCCTAGTTAGCTACTCCAAGAAAACATACATCAAGCACATAATAAACTAGAGATTAACAACTTGATAATGAAAGCAAGGAAATCAATTAACTATAAAATCATCCATAACATTGAATATTCATGACTAGGGCTTCATCCTAAGCCCTAACTAAATGGATTAGTTAGACATAACTATGAATATAGAAAATAAGAAATACATAGATAGGATAAAGAGAGGAGAAGAACTAGATGATGGAAGCAAGGAATTCCCAGGATAGCTCCAAGCTCTCTTCTCTCTTTGTGGTGAATCTGAATGTGTGTATGAGAGTAATGGATGAAGTGAAAATGTGTATCTGACTCTCTATCTCCCTTCTTGAATGAGTGTGCAGCTCTTTATTTATAGAGTGAAATTTCGTCCTCCCCTTTGGCTGGTGAAGCACACCTCTCTTAGCTGCTCCCAACTGCTCCAGCTGCCCATACTTGCCAACTGCTCCAGATGCCCATACTTGTCACCTGCTCCAACTGCCAAATACATGTTTTGGTATGGTTTCTTTATGGAAAGCTTGACTTTTGTTCATCTTTCTGAGTTCCTGAGCTGATTTGACTCCCATTTATGGATGCCCATGTGTAGTACATGGCTCTAGGGATGTAGCCTCATTAAATGTGATGGCAGCCAACATGACATTTCTGGGAACTTGGTTCAGTCTTTGACATGTGTAGGGCTCTAGATTTATCCAATTGGGCTGAAATTTGGATATGTTATAATAGACACCCATTGGAACAACCTCTATCAAGCATGTCTCCTCATCCGATCTGTGTAAGTTGCTTAAATGAGGACTGCAAGATGACCCACGAAACTGGACTAACAAGGAGTGTGGCCCAAATTCCTCTTATCCCAATCAGACCTTAACAAGCATGGATTGCATCAAATGTTATCTCTTGCTGTCTTAAACTACAACACAAACAAAAAGAGGTAAGTGACTCAAAATCAAGAGAAACTAAGTAAAGTCACTAAGTAAAGAAGGCAAGCAAATATGTGAAATTATGACCTTATCAGCTGTTTGTACAGAGATTGCCTCCTACTACCGTCTCTTTTTCTTCTCTTTTAGGCCCATCATGAGGCCCCTTTTTAAGGATTCGTTCATCCTCTTGGCTTCGGCAGCTTTCCTGGCGTCTGTCACTGTACGAACCAAAGACCGGTAAGACGCCAACATGTCGTAAAGTGAACATACAAAACAGAAAGTTCACTTAGTCTTGGTAGGGTTGACGAGGTGGGCTCTGATCAGGTTCTTGGTAAAGAGGAATCCTAGGTATACCTTGTCAACAGTAGGAACCTTCAGCCTCACTTTATCAACCTGCCGAATCTTGGATTGAGTTGGGTTTGGCTGCTTTAGTTTGCCTGCAAAACAACAGAAAAATGATTAAAAATCAATCGGAAAAGGCATATTAATAACCTGTCGATTGGCATGCTGATGACCTACCGGCAATCTGGAAAGCGGTGGGAATGTGGAAACGGACGGGCATTCCCGAAGGCAATTCCCAATCGCCAGACAAAAGCACCCACCGATTCCTCCAAGACTTTTGAGAAGTCGGCACGGCACTGACGAAATGCCCCCGTTCAGAAGCCCTGAGACAGTTGGCCTAAACCTAATCTCCATGATCGGCACTCTTGGACTTGGTGAAGCTATACAGGTTGGAGAATTGCCCGTAGGAAGGCTCCTCTTCCTCAGCAATACGGAATGCAACAATCACCCCCATCAAGGCCTCCCACAAGTTGGGATTGTATTGGCCTGGAGCATACCCGATTTGGGCAAGAACCCCCTGCAGAAGAACGTCAGTAAAAAAGACAACCTCACCATCGTCTGAGTTGCTGAGAGACTCGATAGGACCTGGGATCCTCATCTTTACTGAATCTGGGATGTAGTACTCATAACGAAGCTTAACTAGCTCCCGTATAGTCATCTACGCCGAACAGATGCTCCTTCGGCATGCCTATAAGTACCCTAGGGTTTCCCCGATGAACTATGGATACCCTCGCTTGAGAAAAGGGTTTGGCAGTTGCCTCTCCACGGCCAAAGGTGGAGGTCTCTGATTGATGGCTGGTATGCTTATCCGGCACCCGAGTATCCCCCATCTGGAATTCACAGTGCTAGTTCGCACCAACATGATTGTTGTCGCTATACACCATAGCCAACGGTACTGGCTGCCTTGTCATAAGTCCCTTCCCGATGCCATGGGTAGGAACGGAGCTTGTCCCCTCACCAAGTATTTCGACATCGGTATCTTCTCCACCCTCGGCATCGAGGCTTACGGCCTCACTATTTGTATCCCCCAGATTGTCCCATGACTCCCTATCGAACGCATTGGCTCTCTCTCAAACATAGACTTGCTATCGGACATCTACAAAACACGGGAAAAAGGAAACTAAGGGCCATGCAGAAGACTAGCCTACCGATGCCTACATCGCTACCTATGGCAACCAGACTACCGAGCAAAACCCTACTTGCACAAAGTTCAGTCTAGTTCATGCCAAGGAAGGACGTGCATAGGGTGAGTGACAATATTTAAGAGTGTCGAACGGTACCTTATCTCAGACTTTGGATGAAGGAATGTGGTCTGAACTGTCAATCATCCTCTTCACAAATCGCCTTGACTATCGATTGGTTTCGTTGGAAATCGCCTTGATTGCTGTTAGCCCTCGCCGAAAATCGCCTGAACAGAGCTCTCGCTTCACTCACAAATGCAAAGTGAATTTCACATCCAAAGCCACTCCTATATATAGGGCGAGGGATTGAAACGGTATGCCTCGAAAAACCAAACGGGGCATTAATGGTGCAGCTCCGCATGAGTAGATGCGCCACGTGTCGTTCTGGGTGTGGATGTCCTGACAACACGCGGGCACAGGAGGTAGAGCGTCATTCAATCCCATCACTTCACCTCGAAGTGGCAACCCTTGGGTTCCTGGGTGTCTGCTTCCGAATAAAGAAGTGCAGAAGGACAAGGATCAAGCATCACCCTCTACTAAATCACCAAATGATAGAATAACACTTCTTTACCGAAGAAGGTATCAAGTCCCCATCCGAGAACGCTCAAATGAGAACTTGCGGGACTCCTGTTTATACCAAAATGAACAACCTATAAGGACTAGACACGTGCACAAGATTGAGCCTGGCAATGGTGGCCTTCGGCATCTTGCCTACCGATCCAGTGATTAGGGCAACTCCCTTCTCCAAGACATGTGGCATGCCCACAATCGACGCCCACAGTCCCACATCGAAATTCTAAACAATATGCACACCTCCCAAGGCCTATAAAGGAGGATCACTATCCCCAAATGGAGGTAATTAGAACTTACGGTATACAGCCTAATGATCTGTCAGTATAAGGTTACTAAATCCGTACTTACTTAAGCATTGGAGTGCCTTCGGCCGGTACCACACCAGTGCCTAAGGTCTTATCGAGCGTTTGTTATCTTGCAGATCACATGTCCCGCAGAGACCCGAAGCATATCGAAGGCCCAACATCACTAAGTTGAGCCCAAAAAGTGCCGAACCACTTTTTTGCATCAACACATGTGATTGATCATTCATGCTTCTTCTGTAGGAAATATTGTTATTTTTCATTAATATTTAGGTGAAGCTACGTTGATTTATGTTTTATTGGATAATTACTGGTCGACTTTAACAAATTCATTGAGCATGCTAAAACATTACGTTGAGAAATCATTACATACTTGAATGTAATTTGAATATTCTAGTTAGATTTCACTTTCTGTTCATTTCGGAAAACATGTGTTGCTTATTATTATTACTCCTTGTTAGCTTTCCCAAAAAAGAACAAAGTTTTGTACCTACTTTTTTATTTTCAAAAGAAAAATCGTTACAGGTTTTTTCTCTTGATAAGAATCTTTGAACTTTGTTTTCATCCACATAATTGCAGATTTTGGAAATGATTAAGATGTTGATGTAGGATATGGGTGAATTTAGTATTTAGGTAGTTTAGCAGAAGCGAAAACAACAGAAAACAGAAAATTGAACAAAAGGGATAGGTCTGGAATCATTCCAGGGGTTTGGCTTCACACCATCTGGGCTAAAGCCACTCGATCCTGGATTCTATGATTCCCACTCAGTCTTCTTATATTTCCTCTTCTGTAGACTCCCTAATCTCACAAAACAATTCATCCACAACCATGACCAACCAAACATCATCACTCCCTACCTCATTCAATATTTCTCATCTTTTCTCCACACCCATGGATCGTAATAACTATTTGTGCTGGAAGACTCAATTTCAGGATATCCTAGAGATTCATGACCTCGAGGAAGTCGTGAAAAGTGATGCACGACCTGACAAGAAACTAGCAGATGGCTCCATCAATCCCGCCTACTCCAAAGACAAACTTGTGTTGAGTTGGATCAAGGCCACTTCATCCCCACAAATCAAAACTCTCCTTATTCCTTGTAAGACAGCATCAGAAGCATGGTCTCTCCTTGGCAAGAGACTCTCTCCTCTCTCTAAGACTTATGTTCGTACCCTGCGAGATCAAATAAGGACCTTGAAGAAAGAATCAGAAAACATGGTTGCTGAGTACTTAATGCATGCCAAATCCCTTTATGATTCTCTTGTTGCGGCTGGATCTCAAATGACAAATGAAGAGCTTATCAAGTATATTCTCGATGGCCTAGGTCACGACTATAAGGAGTTCACAACATCCCTTCCCCTCCGCTCCTCGCTTTCTTTTGATGGGTTCTATGACCTTCTCAGGAGGAACAATTAATCAAGAAGATGTCTTCTGTTTCCCTCTCCTCAGTGATGGCTCTAGCAGCAGATCGATCGATAAATCAGCATGAAAATTTAGACAAAAGGAAATACAATAATAACCACTCAAACAACAATTATCAAGGACACGGACGTGGTCGTGGACGAGGTAGAGGGTGTTATCAAATCGTGACAGAAACTGGAGTAATGGTAACAATTACAGAGACCTCAATTGGAACTGAAACAGTCAGAGACAAAGCTGGAATAAATCTAACACTGATCAGCAGCACGAGAATTCATCATCAGCAAATTATTCACATCAGGTCTCATCGGATAATCGTCCTCCATTGCTCCCAACACCGGTTCAGCAACAAAATTATCAGTTTTCGGTGATTTTTCAACAGTGCAAAAAAGTTGGCCATACCTCAAGGGTCTGTCCAAAACGAGGAAACTTTGCATACCTTGCTGAAACCAATAGTGCTGCTGTTTCATCACCCAGTCACTCGGTTACAAATTGGGGCATTGATTCAGGGGCAACACATCACATGACCTCGGATCCTTCATCTCTCTCTAATGTTCAGCCATATACAGGTACAGACTCCATAATTGTTGGTGACGGAAATTCATTACAAATATCATATATTGGTAAATCTCACTTGTCAATATCAAATGGGTCTTTGGTCCTTAATGAAGTGTTGTGTGTCCCTGCTATCAAAAAGAATCTTTTGTCCATACGTCATTTTACTCGTGATAGTGATTGTTACTTTGAGATGGATTTTAATGGTTTTTGTGTGAAGGCCAACAAGACAGGCAAGGTTCTTCTTACTGGCAATAGCTATGGTGACCTATATTACATTCATACCAGTCCTCAGATTTCAGAGAAGCTAGTTTTCTATGGTGAAAGAGCAACTCAAGATGTGTGGCATGCTCGCCTTGGTCACCCTTCATATGTAATTCTACGTGTGTTAATTAATCAATATCACCTGCCTATTAATGGTAGCATTGTTTTAATAAAGTATGCCATGTTTGTCTTTTGGGAAAATCTTGTCGACTCCCATTTTTTTTATAGAAATTCTCATTCACAACAATCGTTGGAGCGTCTGCATCTTGATTTATGGGGTCCTGCTCCAATATCGTCAAATTTTGGGTATAGATTTTATCTGTCTATTGTGGATGATTGTACGCATTTCGTCTGGTTGTTTCCATTAGTCAAGAAGTTGGATGTGCTTTCCACCTTCATTGTTTTTAAACGGATGGCTGAGAATCAATTTAATTGCAAAATTAAGCTATTGCAAACTGATGGTAGTGGGGAGTTTACTAGTTGCTTATTTCAGAATTTTCTTCGTGATCATGGAATTTCCCATCAGTTATCATGTCCTTAAACTCCACAGCAAAATGGAGTAGTTGAGCGAAAGCACCGACACATAGTGGAAATGGGACTATGTTTATTGTTCCAATCAAAATTGCCTAACAGTTTTTGGGTAGAGGCTTTCTCCACTGCAGTTTTTCTCATTAATTGACTATCGACACCACAGCTTGACAACATGTCACCCTTTGAGAAATTATTCAAAAAATCGCCTGATTATCATTTTCTCAAGACCTTTGGATGTGCTTGCTTCCCTCACTTGGTACCGTATAATCGTCACAAGTTGTTGCCTAAATCCATCAAGTGTGTGTTTATTGGGTATGACATTAACTCCCAAGGCTATCGATGTTTAGATGTTGCCACTGGTAAAGTTTATTTGTCTCGCAATGTTACATTTGATGAATTAACATTTCCATATCCAGAGTTGTTTTCCAGGTACCAAACAGCAGAAAAGACATCACAGCACTCCTATGCCATATTAGACACCGTCCTACCTATTGCTGCAGCACCACAATGCTCTATTCCAGATAGCCAAGGACACCAACTCAAAGCTCCACACATGAGCCCAATTTAAGCTTCCATTCATCCAGCCCAAGTCCAAGTGCCTCTCCACAAGCCCACATGTCTCCACCAGCCACTAATTCTCCTTGTAGGTCCTTTGATATATCACCACACCCACAGAGTCCAACTACATCACCCGACGCAGCATCCAATCATGAACCAATTTCGCCTCCTTTATTTTTCCCAAATACTTCCTCCACAATTTCGACTAGTCTTGATTATTCACCTATGCATACTAAATTCGGAAGCCTCCAGCAATTGATCTATGGAACTTCTCCCCATCCATTGCCGCACAGCCTTACTGCAAGTCTTCAAGTTCCCCTGTCTTTTGAACCTGCCACCTACAAAGAAGCTTCTCAATATTCTCATTGGCAAACAGCCATGAAGGATGAATATGATGCTTTAATCCGCAATGATACTTGGTCTTTGGTCCCAGTCACACAAGGCATGAATATCATAGGGTGCAAGTGGGTGTACAAAGTGAAGCGAAAGGCGGACGTCCTGATTGAGCGTCACAAGGCACGTCTTGTTGCTCAAGGGTACTGTTGAACACAAAAAATTACAAGACGAGGAAAGGGGCCCAGGATGAAAGCCCAAGACGTGAAGGTTGATCTTTAAGGCTGTTGATTGTTTCTTCTAGAAGTTAAAAATGAGATAAGGTTAGTTTTCAAAAGAAATATAAAATAAAACAAATTAAAAAAAAAGGCGGGAAGAGATCGTGTTTATCCTCTGCAACTCCATTCAGCAAAGAGGCCGCCCACTTAGCAAACGTGCTTCCCCAACTGATATTCATCTTTTGCCTATAAAAGACATGAACGTCTAGGCAAAAAAAGAAAGGCAGAGGCGAGAAGTCTGAGGGAGGGCAGAAAAAAAAGGAGCTGTAGGAGAGAAAACGCAGAGAGGAACCAAGGGCTGCGAAGAAGGAAGGAGCCGAGAAGCAAGTGATAAGGTCATAATTTCACATATTTGCATGCCTTCTTTACTTAGTGACTTTACTTAGTTTCTCTTTATTTTGAGTCACTTACCTCTTTTTGTTTGTTTTGTAGGTTAAGACAGCAAGAGATCACATTTGATGCAATCCATGCTTGTTAAGGGCTGATTGGGATAAGAGGAATATGAGCTTAAAGACAAACCCAATTTGGGCTACACTCCTTGTCAGTCCAGTTTCGTGGGTCATCTTGCTGTCCTCATTTTAGAAATTTACACAGGTCGGATGAGGAGACATCCTTGATAGACGTTGTTCCAATGGGTGTCTATTATAACATATCCAAATTTCAGCCCAATTGGATAAATCTGGAGCCCTCAGCACGTCAAAGACTGAACCACGTCCACAGAAATGTCATGTTGGCTGCCATCAAATTTAATTTGTCTACATCCCTAGAGCCATATGCTAAGTATGGGCAGCCACACATAGGAGTCAAATCAGCTCAGGAACTCAGAAGGATGAACAAAAGTCAAACTTTCCATAAAGAAACCATACCAAAGCATGTATTTGGCAGCTAGAGCAGGTGGCAAGTATGGGCATCTGGAGCAGTTGGCAAGTATGGGAAGCTAGAGCAGTTGGGAGCAGCTAAGAGAGGTGTGCTTCACCATCCAAGGGGGAGGACGAAATTGCACTCTATAAATAGATAGCTGCACACTCATTCAAGGGGATATAGAGAGTCAGATACACATTTTCACTTCATCCATTACTCTCATACACACATTCAGATTCACCATAAAGAGAGAAGAGAGCTTGGAGCTATCCTGGGAATTCCTTGCTACCGTCATCTAGTTCTTCTCCTCTCTTCATCCTATCTATGTATTTCTTATTTTCTGTATTCATAGTTATGTCTAACTAATCCATTTAGTTAGGGCTTAGGATGAAACTAGTCATGAATATTCAATTTTATGGATGATTTTATAGTTAATTGATTTCCTTGCTTTCATTATCAAGTTGTTAATCTCTAGTTTATTATGTGCTTGATGTATGTTTTCTTGGAGTAGCTAACTAGGATTTTATGCATCTAGCACAAGTTGGGAAGGGGTTTAGCTTCACCAATTCTACTCTCCTTTCACAAGCAACATATGAATGGCCTAAGAATCATTCAAGGGGTTAATAACCATAGGTTGACTAGGACAGATACCATGTTCTAGGACTTGTGTGGTTATCATATTCTCATGGAGCTTAATGACTGTTGTATGCTTTATTCTAAGTAGATACCATGCTTAGGTTGCATATTAGAGATCACATGTTGTGTAGATACCATACACAATTACATGCCTTAGGAGAATCATGCATCTTGCACCTAGATACCATAGGCTTGTATGCGATAATCTATTGTTGATGAAGCTTGAGTCAATTTCTATGCATTCATAAATTGGATAGGAAAAGTAGTGGTGGATTCCAAGGCTCTAATACCTCTCAATTATTGTTTCAAAATTTGTCCAGTGTTTACTTTCGAGCACTTTCATTTCACTTTCTTCTTTTCATTTCAACAACAAAACCCCCCCATTTCGAGTGCATGTGTGGTGCTAGGATTCTGTCCTAGACCTTGAGTAGTTAGCAAGAGGCATTGTTGAATTCGACTTTGCCTTTAGTTAGTTAGTCAGTTCCTTTATTTTCTATTTTTCTAGCATTCTAAGTAATTTAACTTGGAACCAAGTTACCTTTCTCCGTGGGATCGACCTCGTATTTACATAAGCTATACTATAAACAGTTTGTGCACTTGCGAGAATTAAAGTTGCTGTTTTTAATAACTCATTTTAGTTGTTAGGAATCGGCTCAATAGCAAGAGAGTGCTTCAGAAATTAATACTGAAGCGTGAAGAAACGATACCCAAGGGCCTGCAGAAAGTTTCAAATAACAGAAAATCAAGGAAGAAACAAAAGGGCAGGAGCAATCAGAGAAGAAACAAAAGGGCAGGAGCAATCAGAGAAGAAAGGCAAGGTATATAGTTCATTCTTTGCTGTAAAACATTAGGGTGTCTCTCAGTACAAGTTATTCCTTTGCGGTTCAAAAACATCTGATGCAAAGTTCAATCCAACAAGCCTCTATAAATGGTAGATCATGAGTTCTACGTGGATGCCGACATCTTGAAAACACATTTCTCTATGAAAGCAATAAATAGCTCTCATATCAAGTTCTCTGGAATTGAATCAGCAAAGTCCCCTTCCATTGTTGTCTACCATAAAGGCTTTGAGAATGTGCGCTGCGAAATTCCTCCATGTCTTTGCTGTCAAAGAAGTCTCATGAGACTACTGCAGGCAAAAGAAATTCATCATTCTCGGAAAATAATTGAAGAAACCATGTCTCTGCTGTTAGAGAAATTTCAAGAAATTACACAAGAGGGAGCTCTCGCGAGGACCTCCTTATTGTGAAAATATGCCAATGGGCTTCTGCCAGAACCCCTCTATATTAAGTGCTATGAGCACCTTGCAGGTGTTCATAGGCATACTTGATGAAAATCTTGCAGGTGTTCATAGGCAACAAACACAGACACAGACCAAAGAAAGAGATAGAAGGCAATATGAGACAAACAGGAGAACAAATAAAAAACTAATCTGATGAAGAAGACAGACTTGCCATATGCAAAAGGAGAAGTCAAAGCTAAAATGGATGCACAGCCTGCTGTCAGTAACTTTTCTTCAAACCAAAATTTGGTCTTTAGACCAAAAAAATAAAGAAACTTGTTGCTCAAAGAAAGCCCTCCTGCCATGCCCAAGATTGAAGAAGAAAAGCAATAGAAAAAAAAGAGTTTCGTATTACTGAAAGAAGCCAAAAACAAAACAAGGAAGAAAAAGCCAAAAAGGGACAAAGAAAAGGAAAAGTACCTTTGTACTTTGACAAACAGACGTTGCTGCCATTAAGCTCCCATATTTCCAATGGGTTATGTGGTCTAAGTCTGCGTTTAAGTTCCCAATACTTCCAATTAATATTTTAATGGTTTATGTGGTCTAACTCTGATAGAAGAAAGCAAAGGAAAAGACCAACCTTGTTTCGACTTCTCTTTGGTTTTGGCTTCTCAAAATCAAAGTTCTGTATCGGTTTTGGTTTCAAATGCAGCTGGCTCTCAAAGCCTTTCTGACATAGACTCTTTGTTTGTGGACCAACTAATAGAAATGTTAAGGCCTGAAAACAAATTGATAGGTTGACAAAACAAATTACCCATTAACTTTCAAAAGCCCAAAATATTTTATAGGTGGTCCAAATAAATTATGTGGTTAATGAATCTTTTTTTTTAAATCCTCAAAACCACATCTGAGTAAATTAATAGGCTCATTAAAGTGCCTTTTAATTTTCTTTGGACATTAACAATAAAAATGGTACAAAATCATTCCAAATTTTCTCATGGGTCATCTACCCATGCAAATTTCAATGAGATCAAATTCAAATCTCTCAAACATACAAATTCTTTCAAAGGGTAATTTATTCTTTCAAAGTCCAACCAAATTTTCTGAACTACGTCCGGTTTGATTCTGCCAAGGATACGTAGGCAATTTGGAAATTCAATCCAAATACAACTGCAAGTCCAAACAGAATCCCTGGTTTACCTTAACCAAATTCGCCCCAAACACTTTTCCAATCATAAAATCAAATTGAATCCCTAGTCCAACCACATTCATCCAAATTCCATAAAATATTTCTCATACCACAAATTCTTTCAAAGGGGTCATTCATTCCTCGAAAGTCCAATAAAATTATGTGAGAACTACAAAAGGCTTGATCCCCAAAATGGGGTATGTAGGCAGTCTAGGGTTTCCTGGATGCAGCCGTAACATCAAATCAAATTCCATTATTTATTTCATTCTTCATATTGGAATCAAAGGGTTTTCTCTTTCCAAACAGATTATAGCTAAGAGATATTTTTTATCTTGAATGGGTCGTACTCAACTAAAAATAAAAACTCTTATATGTAAATAAGAGTGAATTTTTAATTTCTTTATTACATTTTTTTATCTAACAGGTACAACCAGAAAGAAGGTCTTGATTATGCCGAGACGTTTAGTCCGTTTGTAAAACCAGCTACAATTTGCACGATTTTGGCATTAGCTATTTCACACAATTGGCCCTTACAACATCTTGATGTACGCAATGCATTCTTGAATGGTCTTTTACACGAAGAGGTGTACATGAAACAACCACCGGGTTTTATCGATTCCCTTCAACCTCAATATGTTTGTTGGCTTCATAAAGCACTTTATGGTCTTAAACAGGCCCCAAGAGCATGGTTTCAGTGATTGCATTCCTTTTTGCATACACAAGGATTTTCCCACATCCAATCTGATACATCTTTGTTTATTCGTCACTCACACTATATGTGTTCTTGTTTACGTTGATGATTTGATTGTCACAGGTACTGATGTTATAGCCATCTCTACCTTTATTGATCACTTATGCTCTGTATTTGACAGTCGAAAGCTAGGTGATCTGAGTTTATTTCTTGGAATGGAGGTTCGACGCACAACCACCAGTTTGTTTCTCTCCCAAAGTCGCTATGCTTCTGACCTGTTGAAAAAGTTTAACATGGTTATGTGCAAATCTTGTCCTACACCGGTGCTCTCCTCAACTTGACTTTCTGCTATGGATGGTGATCCCATTTCTGACCCTTCTACATACCATAGCATGGTGGGTGGTCTCTCGTACCTAACACTGACTCAACCCGACATTGCATATGCAGTTAATCAAGTGTGTCAGTATATGCATAAACCCCGATCCACTCATTTACAAGCTGTTAAAAGAATCTATAGCTATATTAAAGGCACCATTGAACATGGTATTCCTTTCCGTTCCTCCATTGATTTTTCCTTGCATGGTTTTTCGGATGCCGATTGGGCTGGGTCCTTGGATGACAGACGTTCCACTACCGGTGCTTGTATTTTCCTTGGTCCTAATTTGCTCACTTGGACTGCTATAAAGCAATCAACAGTGTCAAGGTCCAGCTCTAAAGCAGAGTATCGCGCCCTTGCCACAACGGCTGCCGAGCTTCGTTGGTTTTGCTACTTGTTTAGAGAGCTTGGTATTCCTCTCCATTCTCCCCCTTGTATTTTTGTTGATAATGTTTCAGCCCTTCACATGGCAGCCAATCCGGTCTTTCATGCACGCACCCGCCACATTGAAGTTGATTATCATTTTGTTCGTGAGTTATTGGCATAGGGAGTTCTTCGTACCGGATATATTTCCTCTCAATATCAGCTTGCAAACATTTTTACCAAGGGTCTCTCTCGCGATCGTTTTGCTATGCTCACTTCCAAGCTCAATCTCCACTTTGTTCCATTTCGCTTGAGGGGAGATGAAGAGAACAACACTAATGATACATCCAATCATGCTAATATTACATCCAATCACCACGACATGAGAGCCTTGAATTCCTCATCCTCATATCACTCTACTGATCATACGTGATTTCAGGAATTATATCAATCTCTTGTAATCTTTGTTATCTTGTTACCTTCTAGGACTAATATTACCATATGAGTTGTATCAATAGTCAAACTGTAATTGTATAAAGCAAGCATGAATAGAAATCAATAGTCATCGTGCTATTCCCCAAATATCTTATCTGTTATAATTCTTCTTCACTGTTCTAATTCTTCTATAGTCTCCAATCTCTGGAAAATAAGCTTTTCTTTTTATCTCAACAACTCTATTTTAAAGAACTACATTGGGGGTATATATAGCAAACTAAAACCTAGAGACAATAGGATAAAAATCCCTTACTAAAACAGAAATCCTAATCCACCAAGGAACTAATTCAAATAAACTAGGAAACTTAAATCAAATCCTACTTAAAATCTGGAAACTAAATCCTAGTGAAATCTGGAAAACTAGATAATCTAGGAAACTAACTAATGATGTCCGCATCAGATGTCTTCCTCGATAAATGGCTCACCCTCCCACCACCCCCCCCCCTTCTTAGCTGAGTATAATGTATTAGGTCAATTTATTTATCTTTTCATGCTCCTTTATTTCAAGATATTTTGGGTTTGTTGACTTTTAGTAACAACATTTAAGTTTTATGATAGATATGTATTTTGTTTTCTTAATATCATCCTTGTTGCTTACATAGTACGTGCATTTTTTAGCACCTTATAACTGGTATTTGGACTCCACTTTCTTATTTTATCCTTTAATTTTGTATTTCATTTTAACTAAAATGCTTCTCTGGTTTATTTTCAGGCTGGAAGTAGAACCATTAATATAGAGCTGACTACATTATCGAGCACCAACCATATTGAACTGAACCCCAGTGATGTAGGGTTTCAGGACAGATAAGAAATGGCTAAAAATAGACCCATTGACACAAAAGGGAAAAAAGGATATAAAGGTAGTTTTAAATAAGTTTACTTGCTGATCGTTTATTAGTATTTCCTCTGTACATATACTTCAATGTATGCAGGTCATATTCTTTTCATTGGTTAAATTTATCTCTAAGTTGAATGAATTACTTGTTTATATTATGGTTATTTATGTGGTTTCTCATCATTTTCACAGTACTGTGAAACTGGCATTGTATTCTTCCTTTTCCTCACCAGCTTGCCCCAATAATTAAATAAAATGGAAAGTAAAAACTGCAGTTAGATGAAAAAGCATTTGGGTGTCTAAATGTTTAAGAGTGTATACTGATACTATGTCCTATTTGCAATATCAGTCTTAGTGCTGAATGAAGTTGACAAACTTTCAAGAGAAGAGCAACATTCTCTTCGAAGAACTATGGAGAAATATAGTCCCTATTGCAGGCTAATAATATGTTGTAGCAGCTCTTCAAAGGTTACTGAAGCAATCCGGTCTCGATGTCTTAATGTGTGAATAAATGCATCGACAGAAGAATAGGTTGAATTTTCTGTCTTCCAGATAGGAGCATATTTATGCGACTTTGCTATCTTATTTCTTTGCATTTACTTAGTTAATTCCCATTTATTAAAGTGATTTAGCTTATTTTCGTACTATTGTAGGTTCAGATGGCAAGATTGGCAAGAAAGGGCATTTTGGAGCATTTTAGAGCAGTTTTGGACTTGGAATGGATAGCATATGCATGGGGCAAGATGGATGGATGTTTTTAAAGTTCAAAGAGGCTAGGAATGTGATAAAAAGATGGGAAAATTAATTTAAGAATCAGCTTCTGGGAAGAAACAACCCTAACTGATTTTATTTTATTTTACCTTATCCTTATCCTATTCTACCTAAATTCCAGCAGGAAAGGAGGGGATTAATTTCAGATTAGGAAACCTAAAAACCTAGTTCTAGAACAAAGCATTGGGCCACACCTCTTTCCTAAAATGGTGGCGTCTGGGCCCTATCCTTGTTCCTAAAGAAATCTGCCAAACAAAACCCTAATTTCTAGGGTTTCTACTGGGCCCTTTTACCCTAAACGAGCCGGAACCTGTTGCATCCATTGGGGTTTTCAGAGTTCTTCCCTTGATTAGTTTAAATGTTTATTCTAGATTGCTTTTCAATTATTATGAACATGTGTGACTGAATTTCTTCTTAGTTAGAGGTGAATTCGAAGCCATGGACATATGTTTTATATGAATTGATTACTTCCAGTTATGGTTTCATAAAGTATGAATGTGATTTACTTTTATGTTTTATTGAGGACTTATTCTTGCATGTTTATTAAGGATGCATACTTAGTTTGTATGTAGGGATTTGATGCTAGAATATAAGGGAATTTCACCTAATTGTTATGAACTTATATTCACAGGTAATAAAAGTCACTAGTCATGATTGCGTTAAGTAAATTCCTGGCAGGAGTATCATGCTTTTCATAGCTACAATTGCCTTGTCAAGGCTTATGATTTTCATATAACTAAATGATCTTTGATATATATCTTTATCATGTTGTTCATATAGGGAACTTGATAAGGATAATTTGATTGTGTCGCTGAGTCCAATTCAATGATCTTACGAAAATCTGAGAGTTAATTAGTGCATTCACAATTAATTTGGGGCATTGTCATTCATACTTTATAGAAAGAGTAATTGGAGATCGATTTGTGTGCATGTGTTCCATGTGTGGAGAGGAATCCTCTAGCTATCCCTTCATCCATATTTCATTCTCAACTTAGTTGTTTGCTGTTGTCAGTATTACTTTAGTCTAAATTGTCCAAATTCCTCCCAATCATTGTTCCCTTAACTTAGTTTTCAGTTTAATAAGTTTAATTTGTTTTGAATAGCATCCCTCTTAATTCCCGGAATAGAATGATCCCTACTTACGCATACTACGATTGCATAATTTATATTGTTTAATTTGTGCGTTAGTTATTTCTCACACCAAATTTTGGCGCCATTGTCGGGGATCAGCAAAATTGCTAATCTTCCCTTTGTTTTCGTTTTTCTTGTGTTTCTAATGTTGTTTTGTTTTGTTTTCTTTGTTTTAGGTACGAGTTTATGACTCGAAGTTCACACCCTGTTTGTGCGCACATATTGGACTTTGACAACGATTTCGAAGGAACTTTGAGAAGGAAGAGGAAGCAGCCATAACTCAATCCCTCTAGTTCTAGTTCCGAACCTGAATATGAAGTTGAAACGGACTTGGAAGAGGAACAAGACATGGCTGTAGACAATCGAACAATCAAGGAACTTTCAGCCTCTGGATTGGACAGTGCAGTCCCTCTTTGCATTCAATACACTGGGGCAGCTGCAAGCAAGACCGATGAGTTTGAATTGAAGTCTAGTTTGCTACATCACAGTCCCAAATACCATGGGCTGTCCATGGAAGATTCAAACAAGCATTTGAAGGAATTTGAAGTAGTATGTTCAAGTATGACACCCATTAACGTGGATGGAAATATTTTGAAGATGAAAGCCTTCCCATTCTCTCTTATGGACAAGGCTAAAGATTGGCTCTATGAACTAGCACCTGGAACCGTTACTTCTTGGGAAAGGAGTCATTCTTTTGAGGAAGAAAATTAGTGGAATTCAACAAGGCCCGAGAGAATCCTTTCCAGTGTACTATGAACGTTTTAAGACGTTAGTTGCATCCTGCCCACAACATCAGATGAAGGAAGAGCTTTTAATTCAATATTTCTATGAAGGACTACTTCCACTGGAGAGACAAATGCTTGATGCTTTAGCAGGAGGTGCTTTGGTTGACAAAACCTCAACCACAAGGCCGTTCGCACCACCACAACCTCAACCACAAGCTGCCCAATCAAATTTAGGTTCACCATTGGATAATGATCAAAAGCTTCAAGTACTAACTTCTTTGACTCATGGTTTACAAAATCAAGCCAAAGAGATGAGCGAAGTGAAGAAGCAAATTGGGCAGATGGCGGAGTTCATGGGACAGTTTAGAGAAGAAGGCAAACTACCTAGCTCAACCATTGTCAATCCAAAAGTAGGTTTTGAAACGGCTAAAGCTATCATCTTAAGGAGTGGTAAAGAGATTGGAACCAATCCAAAATGTCCAAACAAAGCCCAAAAGAGAACGAAAAGCTGCTGCTCAAAGAGAAGGAGGTGGACAAAGCCACGGCAAGGGAGGAACAACCCTTGCCGCAGTCCCCCAAAGCTCCTACACAACCAAACTCAGGTTGTTCCAAATTCAACTCATTCTAACCCTATTCCACCAAATGTGCCTTTCCCTCGCAGGTGTATGCAATCTAAGAAAGAAGAGGATGAAAAAGACATCTTAGAAACTTTCAGGAAGGTACAAGTCAATATCCCACTTCTTGACGCAATAAAGCAAGTTCCAAGGTATGCTAAATTCTTAAAAGAGCTTTGTACAACAAGGAGGAGGATTTCAAACAAAGAAGTGGTAAGGGTAAGTGAGAATGTTTCCACAGTTTTGCAACGAAAACTGCCACCTAAATGCAAAGATTCAGGTAGTTTCAGAATCCCTTGTGTTATTGGTAACACCAAGTTTGAACATGCCATGTTAGATTTAGGTGCTTCCATTAATGTCATGCCATACTCTATTTATGCATCTATGAACTTAGGAGAGCTTAAAAATGATGGCGTTATAATTCAATTAACCAATCGTTCTAATGCATATCCGAAAGGAGTTTTGGAAGATGTTTTGGTGCAGGTTAACCACTTGATATTTCCAGCAGATTTTTATGTGCTTGAGATGGAGGATTCAGCCCATTCTACACCATTGCCAATCTTAATTGGACGACCTTTCATGAAAACAGCCCGAACCAAGATCGATGTGTTCAAGGGGACGTTGACAATGGAATTTGATGGCGATATCATTGATTTTAATATTTTTGAAGCTATAAGGTACCCTATTGATGATCACTCGTGTTTCTGTATTGATGCATTTGATTCTTTGGCACAGGAATATCTCGAATACCTAGATAGGGATGCCCTTGAAACCACCATTGTTCAAGGAATTGAACTCATCAAAAATGGGGCCGAACCTAATCATGAAGAAATTGGCGAGATGGTGGCTGCCCTTGAGTCACTGCCACAATATGTTGGTAAGCCTCCAATCCCAATTCCAATTCCCGTTTCTACTAACAAGTTGTTACCTTCGGTGATTCAGGCACCCACTCTCGAGCTTAAACCATTACCAAATCATTTGAAGTATGTCTTCTTGGGAGATAAAGAGACTTTGCCCGTCATAGTCTCTTCGTCACTCACAGCAGTGGAGGAGGAAAAACTAGTTCGGGTGTTGCAAGAGTACAAAATAGCCATTGGATGGACTTTAGCCGACATCAAGGGACTTAGCCCTACAACATGCATGCATCGCATACTTCTAGAGGAGGGGGCTAAACCAACTCGAGAGGCTCAATGCCGACTCAACCCTCCAATGATGGAAGTTGTGAAAAAGGAGATCATTAAGCTTCACAATTGTGGGGTCATTTACCCAATTTCGGATAGTCGTTAGGTTTCATCGGTTCAAGTTGTACCAAAGAAATCAGGAGTCACTGTGGTAAAAAACGAAGAGAATGAACTTGTCCCGACTCGTATCCAAACAGGTTGGAGAGTTTGCATTGATTATAGGAAGCTTAACGCCACCACAAGGAAAGATCAGTTCCCTTTGTCGTTCATTGATCAAATGCTTGAAAGGTTAGTCGGTCATTCTTTTATTGCTTTTTTTTATGGCTATTCGAGATATAATCAGATTGTTATAGCCCCAGATGACTAAGAAAATACTACTTTTACTTTTCCATGTGGTACTTTTGCTTATCGACAAATGTCATTTGATTTATGTAATGCACTAGCCACGTTTCAAAGATGCATGGTAAGTATCTTTTCCGATTTCGTAGAGAAGATTATTCAGGTTTTTATGGATGATTTTAGTGTCTTTGGTGACTTTTGGTGGTTGTTTAACTAATCTTGCGTTGATATTAAAACGTTGCATTGAAACAAACCTTGTTTTAAATTGGGAAAAATGTCACTTCATGGTAAAACAAGGCATAGTTTTAGGACATATAGTTTCAGAAAAGGGAATTGAACTTGATAAATCAAAAATAGGTCTTGTACACCACTTACCCCCTCCCACTTAGGTGAGAGAGGTTCGTTCTTTCCTTGGACATGCAGGATTTTATAGACGTTTTATCAAAGATTTCTCAAAGATTTCAACACCCTTGTGCCGACTTCTACAAAAGGATGTGCCGTTTGTGTTTGATGACAAATGTGAGAAGGCGTTCAATCACCTCAAAGAATTGTTAACTTCGGCACCTATCATTGTTCCACCAAATTGAAGCCTTTCATTCGAGCTTATGTGTGATGCTTCAAATTATGCTTTAGGGGCTGTTTTGGGACAACGGAAGGACAAGAAGCCACATGTCATCTACTACGCATCCCGAACCTTGAATGATGCTCAATTGAATTACTCCACCATTGAAAAAGAACTTCTTGCTGTTATGTTTGCTTTAGATAAGTTTCGTTCTTATTTACTTGGTACTAAAGTTATAATTTACTTTGACCATGCAGTTTTGAAGTACTTACTCACAAAGAAAGAAGCTAAACCAAGGCTTATTCGTTGGATGCTTCTTCTTCAGGAGTTTGACGTGGAAATTAGGGACAAAAGAGGATGTGAAAATGTAGTGGCTGACCACTTGAGCCGTTTGGTACATGAAGAAGACCTTCTACCTATTCCAGAGGCATTCCCAGATGAACAATTGCTGACCATTGAGTCCAAATTCAAAGTTTAAAGACGGGACATGAATTCAAAGTGAATGGACACCGTTTGAAGCCATACTATGAGTGTTTTGAGGAGCACGTAGTGTAGGATGTACCCCTCCATGTCGTTGGCCCTAGTGAAGCTTAAAAGGAGGTATTGTCCAGCTAGAAGACGTTAAAGCAAGCGCTTCTTGGGAGGCAACCCATGTGTTCAAATAGAAAGACAATGGAATCTCCGGACTCTACAACCAGATTCTCTCTTTTACTCTTCTCTTTATTATTTTTACTTTGCTATGATTGTCTTGTTTGCTAGTTATCTTTTATTGCTTTCTTGTTTAAAGTTTCCTTTTGAAACATTGAGGACAATGTTTGGTTTAAGTGTGGGGGGGAGGGGGGGGTAAACAGAGTGCTCTTCGTGACTTATTTTTGAAATTCACCACCTATCACTACTAATGTTGTTATTCACTGTTTTAAAAGTGTTTTCGTGCTTTATTTAAAATTTATAAAAAGTAAAAAATTTAAAAATTTAAAAAAAATCCAAAAGAGTCAAGAGTCGTTTTTGTTGTTTGTTTGTGTCTTAGGGTACCTTCCAACATAATGATGAGGATTTGGTTTTTAATTGCATGACTGTTAAAGAAAGTTACAAACATGGGTGGAAGTTTGACATGCTCTTTGGTTAATACTTAGTTATAGTTGTCAATTACGAATTCACATGTAATCATAAAATTAAAAACAAAAAACAAAACAAAACAAAAACAAAAAAACTAAAAAACTAAAAACTAAAAAAAATATTACTTTGTCATCGAAACATTCCCATTGTAATATTAAATAAATATTAAAATACCATACCAGAAAGAAACAATGGGAGCAAAAACATAAACAATGTCGTGGCTCCATATGTTGAAATTATTTCCTGTGAAGTGAAATTATATGAAATGCAGTTGCTTGTTTGCCATGAATGCAAATTTTAGATTTGAACTTGGTCTTTGTATGATATTTCTATTAACTCAAAATTTAATTGCTGCATGTATGAACTTGGTCTTTGTATATGAAGTGCAGTTGCTTGTTTGCCATGATAATGTTTAATTGGATTGTATAATGTGTTTTGTTTTGTTTAGTTGGATTATAAAATGTTTAATTGGATTGTTTAATGAAGTTGGATTGAATTTGGATTGTAATATATATTTGGATTGAATTTGGGTTGTAATTTATATATTGCTGAAGTTGGATTGAATTTAGATTGTAATTTATATTTTGTTGAAGTTGAATTCATTTTGATGTGTTGAAAGCTTGTTGGAAGTTCAAATTTGAGGTAGATCAGTAATATAATAACATTTTGGGCAGGTCTGTAAAAACATTATAAAATAAAATTTTGGGCTAGGCCCAAACCGGAACCGCAAGAACCAAATCGAAACCGGACAAGTCCGGGTTGATTTGGATTTACGTATGAGTTTTTAGCAAAACCAATCCAAACCGAACCGATCTTCATTTTTGATTCAGATTCTATTTTTTTAAGAAAACTGGTACAAACCGGACCGTCCCCACCCCTGCTAAAAATGGCGTCGTTTGCTTTTTTATTTTTTTCCTACAGCAACGCCATATTGGGCATCTTTTTCCCCAAAACACCAAATTTCCTGAAACAAAATTGAAGTCTGCTTCAGTGACCTGACCTGAATCTTTGTATCTCTTTTCTCTTTGGCATTTCGAATAGCTCTAGCTCAGCTTCTAATTGTAAGTAAGCTCATTCCTGTATTTCATCTCTTTTTCTTCTTCTTTTTGGTTTTTTTTTGGTGTGTATTGCAGAAGTATACTTATATCTATTGTTTTGAATCCAGAAAAATAGGAACATTAATAGAATTTTCGTTTGTTAGTTCTTATGTTTGTGCTCTCTGAAAACAAGAAAATATTTGAGTAATGAAAATAGTTGGTGCAAATTGCAGTGCCCTTTTCAGTATTTAACACCCTAATAGATTGTTGTTCTTGCAATTCTTTATTTATTTGTATTTCTTTATTCAAATCAAAACAGGAGCTTGTAGGCTGGAAGGGTAGTTTAATTTATTGTCCTAGAGTAGATAAGGTGACGTTTTATCATAGAGAAATACATTTGTATTGCTCAGTGTGACTCTCTTCTGTTGAGAGATTGGATTGATTGTAAGTGTTCCTTCCTAGGGGTATTTTGGTGTTTGATCTTTTTTTAAAAATTGAATCCTTCCTCTACTTGATGCAAGACCGGATTCCTTTTCAAATGATTAGGGTTGTCTCTTTCTTTCTGTACTTTATATGTACTTATTTCTGTATGGTTATCTGGTGTGTCAAATATTATTGCAACAAAAGGTTCTTCTTCTTTCATACAGAGTGGAATCACATTCTGTCATCTTTCATTTTTTTTTAATAAAATTTTTAAAATTGTGCTTCACCTTCTGTGGTTCGTTTGGTGGAAGTGGTTGAGGTTATTTTTTCTATTTATTTATTTCAAATTCGTGCTTCATCCTGTAGGCTGGTAAAGTGGATGAGGTATTTCATTTAATTTTAATTTTAATTTGTGGTTTTCCGTTGAGAAAACGAAATGTGAAGGTTAACCTCTGAGGGCTGTGTTTCTCCCTGGCAGGTTATTGGGTTTTACAAAATTGTGCAGTACTTTGTTCCTTCAAATTGTTCGAAGAAGTCCAAAAAATGCATAAGGGAAGAAACAAAGGGAGACCCTCTACGAGACAAATGGATAGGAAGGACCAAAACATGGACACTGAAAACCAAGAAATTGCCACCGAGATCCAAAAAATGGACATGAGGAAGATTTCGAAACAGATTGAGCTTTTGGGTATGTGTATTTGTCTCTTGTTTTTCACATTCATGATTCATCCAATTTCTTTTGTTGTTTTAATGGAAGGTTATCAACGATACAATGATAATATGAAGTATATTGTGAAAACTGATAAAAAATTTGAATTAATTATTCTAAACGGATATTATTTTGCATCTTCCTTCTTGTAAAATCAACCAGCATAATATGAGAAATTAGTTGTAATGAATAGCTTAAGGATGAATGAAACTAGGTTGGTCCTACATGGCGCAGACATACTAGTTTGTAAAGGATTGGCATATAGTGATTATGTTGGTCAGTTTCGGGCTTGGATGACCTGAATTACTTAAGAAACTGTAGTGTCAAAAAGTACATTGCACCAGTTTTAGATTGTCAGCTGTATCTTGAAATCAATTTCAAACTTCTTGATGAACTTATGTTCTCCTTGCTGTGATTATGGATATGTGTTAGAAGTGAATGGATTGTATTTCGAGCTTATTTGAGATTGTCATTGCATCAGGAAATCAGCATTGACACTTAACAGAGTGAAGTATATGTTTGCTTATATGGCAACAGTCTCTTAACCATGTGAAAATGGAGCTAGTTTCTTGCTTAATCAAGTTCTGTTGCATGTCCAGGACTGCATTCTTGATTTGCAAGTATATCATGGCATTTGATGGACATAAAGTCTTAGTTTAATCAAACTACAAATCAAAAAATTGACTAGACTCGAGATGCTCTAGTTGGAGAGTTAGAGTGCACCAAAGATGTTTCATAAGAGCTATTAATCAAGAGGTTATGGAATATGTCATACATGGTTAGATGCACTAGAATTCAAAAGGTTGGAGGGATCTTTCATGAGTTTGAACTTGATTCTCCTAAATTTACGTACAGTCCTGTCTAATTAGGGTTCATTAACAACTGAATTTGGATTCTGAAATCCATGGTCTCATTGGTATCAAGTTGCAGTGAAGATTTGGAACCTTTGAGGTGCCACTATTAAACTTGAGGCATGGTTATATTCTAGTACATAGTTAGTTGAGAAAACTGCAATTGCATCGTTGTTCAGTTCAAAATGGATATAGTGTTACCAAAATTTAAAGCATGAGGGAAAACTCCTTTACCCTATGAATGATCAAGATTTAATTACAGTATGAAGGGGTGCTATTTACCAGTTCACCTGTTATCATGGAGGTTTTTTCTCGTAATCATCTATACTAATTGTTGGTATTTATTATTACCGGGAAGTGAAGAGATATTTTTTTTTATATCTTTGTGAAACAATAGATAGTATTGCTAAAGTTTTCCTTCTTGAGAGAATGTGTCAATATCTGCAAAATCATATTTATATTTTGGAAGATTCTTAGGAAGAGGTCTTACAGTAGAAAAGCCATGATGTGATGAGTAAAATATGTCTTAATTTATAATAACCTGCTACACCTTGCTTAATTAGGATGTGGGGAAATTGGATTCAACCATATTAGGTTGTGCGTGAGATATTTCATGAGCTGGGAAATAAAGTTATACTTGATTACAATTTGTGTAAAAAACATAGTGTCATTGACCTGCCCCCTATATATATATATATATATATATATAAGATAGGAAAGTATTAATGAGATATCAATCTTCATGATTTGTGCATTGAACTTATTATATAAGTAATACGATAGAACAACTTCATATGTTTGAATGTGTGCCTTTTCAGTTGTATTAAAGCTAGTTTTAGTCTGCTTTTTCACGTCAAACTTTTGCATCGCAGGTTCTTCTCATATGACATGGAAGCAAAGGAAGGAGTTGGAGAATAGGAAAGTGATTTCTCTAGGTGGAAAGGTATGGACCTTTGCCCTTACCTTATTCAAAAGTAACAATTAAGCTATGCACTGCTTTATTTTCAGTTCTGGTTTGTTGTGGGAAAGGGAAAAGGATTCACTATTGGAAAGATAAGTGAGCAGGAGAATTTCCATAGTTACTTCCACACTTTACAAGCTTTGTTGTCATGTACCCGTAGCCAGTTTGATAATTACCTCCTTCAATCGAAAATCTCATGTCACAATCATCATGATACAATTGAATCCTCTAGCATCTTTTGCATGTAAATCCTATTCGGGCTAGTTTATTGATGACCCATCTCCTCCTAAATTCAACCCATCCACGATGATTTGAAAGGCTAAGGTACATCATAAGGTATAAATACTTGCTTGGATAATTGACCATGGAAAAAGTTCATAC